AACGATCACATTTTCCTGCACGAGAACAAATTCAACATTTCCAATGTGATCACAGTAAGCGTGAACAACGATCCTCCATGGAGCTTTCAAAGTCCACCCAATTTCGGATGTTTTTGCGGAATATCCGTTTCAATTCTAGAGTTAATTGGACGCGATCTCGGACTTCGGTAAATTAACGTTTCTAACTTGATGGTTTGAACCGAGGCATTAATTACGGAGCGTCTAAGTTTCTGTTTTCGATACATGCGCTGCTTTAATTACAAGTTTTCCCTGCATTTTAATAACATATTTAACAAGCTAGAAGCAATATGGTTTCAGTTTTATTTTACGCACGGAAAGCCGACTGGGCACTCTTGCGAAAACACCGGATGGTGTAAAGTATTACGGAGCAGCAGGTGATTTGCTCTTTGGATACGCCGATATGAGCATTGCTTCGTTATCTGTGACCTCGACTCGGCTGCAGCATTTCTGCATGGTGACCGGTTACCTGCTGCGGACCTACAAGGTATCCGTTCACGAGCGGTGGTTGGTTAAATCCAGTTCAGCGGCTGAGTCCATATTGGAAGCTTTGTTCTACACCGCCATGGCTAGCACGTGGCCAATAGTGTTAGTAACAGCCGTCTGTCTGTTTGTCACATTGATCTTGATGCGCTTTGTCAAGCACAAAAGTCTTCGGAAACACGCAGACGCGCATAAAGTGGTACCTCTGCATGTGCAATGCTTGGAGACCGGTTGGACAGTCATAAGCAACTTTTTCAGCCAAGGTAACCTCTTTGAATCAATGTTGGTTTTGTACTGTATTTACAGTTTCTATGCAAAATTGTTTTTTCTATGCAAAATGTTTCAAGTGATATAATTAAATTAGCCGTTCACATTTTACTCGAGACTGTTAATTTCGTGCACTAAAATAATCGCAGTAGAATGTTTCCCGGCAGATGACATGCAGCGACCTCGGCGCTTTGTGGGTGCAGCGCTAACAGTTACTGTCTGGTTGGTATGCCTATACTTCACCACCGCGATCATGTTCGCCCGCGTCAACTCCAGTTTAACGGGCTCCATTTGGGTACCACCTTTCTCTACGGTGCCACAGTTTGCTGAATCCGATTACAGCCCCATGCTGCTTACCGCAACTTCGCCCATCGAATTCATGGTAAACTGCTTGGAAAAATTAGTTTTAAAATTTTTTATGCGAAAAGCACCAACAGACGAGGTAGATGCAACGTCGTTAATAAAAGTATTTTGATATCGCGCAGACTGGCCGCGGAATGCAAATTTTGTTGAAGAGATTGCGTCGGTACGATGGTATCACTGTATTAGATGATTTATTGTCATTGGCCGCGATGCTTTCGGAGACAGAAAAAATCGCGATTTTTACCAACGATGACGAAACACCCATTTATCGAAAGAAGGGCTTCACTGCCGCAATAGAACTGGCATATGGAACATCAGTCGCTCCGTTTCAGCTACCGCTGGGGTCGCCAAAAGCACCACAGATGCAAAAACTGTATGCGGTACAGTGGGTACACCCACCTGAATTAATCAATGCCTTCATGTTTGGGTTTGCATAGCTTCTTTTTAAGGATTGAATGGCTAACCATGACGGGCAATACAAAGGCTCTAATTAATTTACACAAAGAAATCTTGTACCTGGCTCATGATTTTCCATTCGTGCCCAAATCGAAAATGGCTGTAAAGCGAGTGGCGTCAATCGGCACTGAAAGCTTGGAATCGACGATGAATGTTGTATTGATTCTTCTTGGCATTGCAGCTTTGTTGCTAGTTTTGGAAATTTCATGGCACTGGTTAGCTGTTTCGATGAACCGCTCTTATCCGGCAGCGGTACGCTGAGAAACTTTGCAAATTATCATGAGTGCAACTTCCGATTAAAGTGCTCGGCATTTGTTTGTGTAACCCGGTCGCACTTTGTCAATACCGGGTACGCTTAGTTAGGAAACTGGTGCTCCACAATGGATACGCTTACAAGGTACTTCGGCTCCCCACGGTATACGCAGACAATCGAACCGAATTCGATGGCACAGTTCTACTTCAAAGTAGAAGCAGCATACGTCACACCCTTTACCTTATATTCCAGTTTTAAGTTGCTATAATATTATATGTTTTTGAAGAAGCAACTGAGTAAGGTGGATTTACAAAACAAAGTGCAACACCTAAAAATATTGTAAATTTGTGCAAATCACGCATCCCCATTAGCATTTGCCATTTATCGAGCAAAGGTTGATGGAAAAAGAAAAACTTTATCGTGTTTGTGAGGCTCTGCAGTTAACGATCTGTGCGCCTCAGTTTCTAGCGCAATCGGCTTCCGAAACTAGAGGTGGCGTTTTCGTGCACGAACTCGCTGCCAACACTTCGAGCATACTTACTGCCAGTGTCGCCGAAGAGCCGCCTTGGAGTTTTGAAAGTCCACCTGGTTCGGGATGTTTTTGTGGGATAAGCATTACAGCACTGTATTTCATTGGGCAAAAGCTTGGACTAAGGTATATACGCTGCACAATAGCATTTAGCTGAGTCTTGATCACTAGAACGGCATCTTTGACCTTTTTTTTACCGATGCAACATATTTTGGCACATTTTTTCAGTTGATCGTAGCACCTTTGCCCTTATTTTCTAGGTTCATACTAAGTTCAGAGAATGTTAACGTAACTGTGGTGCGTAACGGGATCAAGTATTACGGAGCCCCCGCAGAGGTTATTCGAGGACATGCTGACGTCAGTATCTCGGCGCTATCCGTTATTTATACACGCCTGCAGCATTTAAACATGGTCACCGGTTATTTATTGCGGACTTATAAAATCTGTGTGCATGAGCGCTGGTATATGGATTCCGGATGGGCGGCACAATCCATCCTTGACGGGCTGTTTGATAAAGCCTTAACCGGCACTTGGCCGGCGCTCTTACTAACGGGAATCTCACTTTTTGCGGCACTGAGGTTGTTGCGTTCAGCTAGGGAAATCAGAAGGATCTCTCGCGCCTCCTTGGGATCCAAACAACAAAATCAGCTCAGATATACGCTGCTATACGATGTTTGGGCACTTGTAACCAGCTTCTTTAGTCAAGGTATGTAAAGAATAATTTTCCGCCGCAAGAGAGTAAAGATTTACAAGCGTGCTCCAAACCGCAGGCGATATTCATAAGCCACACCGATTTGGTGGAGCGGCGCTGGCGGTGGTGATCTGGCTTCTGTATATCTATTTTTTAACTGCTATGATGATTGCCAATATTAGCTCTAGTTTGACTGGAACCTTTCTGACGCCTCCATTTAATACAATATCGGAGTTTGCCGATTCGGATTATCAGCCACTTCTATGGACCGAAACATCTCCGATTGAATATATGGTAGGTGCACGGTACACCATTGCACAGATTACCTAAGTACATAGCGTTTATAAGAAAACGAAGCGCGAGCTTTTTCAGAAAACACGCTAGACGCTAAAGTTTGTTTGCTAAAAAACAGATTTTAGCGTCCGTGCTTGCAAAATCTAGGCACTCAAGGCATTCGTTAGTGTATTTAATAAAAAATGCATCTCCATGATTAATCACTTTAATGAGGGAGCGTTGTGGTTTATATAGAGTGGCAATCAACTGGCGCCACTTTTAGGCAGGATGCAGCGATTCGACAAAATCCCGACACTTGACGCATTTGTTGCCGTAGCCAGAAATCTTTCCGAGGATGTTAAAATTGCGACCTTTACCAAGGACGATCAAATTGCAATTTTTAAGCAAATGGGATTTATCTCATCCATCGAAAGGGCATACGAACGATTTATCTCTATGTACCAACTGCCACTTGGATCGCCTGTAGCACCTCGGTTTACACACTTGTATCCATACAAGTCTTCCTATATTATTTTATTAATTTTATTATTTATTGTTTAATCGTTGAAACTTAATTCTGCATTTTCAGGGTTAATTGGATGGGTATGACTGGAAGTCTAAAACCTACAATCAGTTTACAAAGAGAATTGATTTATCTGGCGCATGGAGTACCGTCCGACAGCCGGCCCCAACGCTTTATTAAAGAGGCACAGTCGATTGGAGCGGAGAGCTTAAGATCAACTATGTATGCCGTCGGAGGCATGCTGTGCTTGTCCAGTATTTTATGTCTAATGGAAATTTTGTTCTGGAAATGTAGTCACAGAAAACGGTTTGTGACAGGTGCGGCTTCACCTGAGATTATGCAATAGCGTACCCTTGAGTAGGGTCATACGATAACTCTAACAGGCGTGAGTAATATATATTAAGATGGTTTATAAATTTGTTAATCTTGAATTGCGAAGCCGCTTACAACTAGTCACAGCATAACCAAAACAACACAAAGACTAGTGACTGAACCACGGTGACTTGAATAAAATAAGTACTGCGGACTGCAAAAGGTTTACTGCGCAATATCCAGCCAATATGTGACCATTTTGCCTTTACCTTTGATAAGCACCTCTCCTCTAGAAATACACTGGAGGTTGCTTGTTGCTTTTACCAGAGCAGCGGCATCGCCACTTAGATGAATTTTCGAACCCTCTCCGTGACTTTCCATTCGAGATGTGGTATTCACTGTGTCGCCAAAGCTACAAAACTACTTTACAAACCATTCACGATGCAGATAAGTACCTATATGCAGTTTTATGCAAGTTCACGTGCTTCAATTTCGATCACAGTTTTTCGTTCGCTTACAGACAGTATCGTGGTCGCTGTAGTCCGGCCACCGCAGTGACGCATGGTCCTGCAGCAGAAAACAGATTCGAAAAGACTAGAACTATGGGGATTTGTGGATAATAATTATTGCATACCACTATGAATCCCAATGCGCAACTGCATTTTTGTGTATCCTAGCTTGTGGCCGAAAGTATGTATCAGGCGCCGTGCTACACGGCACATTTCTGAAGCGTGTTTGTCTCCGTTAGGCTTCGGTAATCCACTGGCAATCTACAGCCAAATGTAATACCAATGCTTTGGCAATCAAAATCTGCAGACAAAACTTCCTCGTATTAAGTATTTATAACACTCACAAAATATGAATCGCTTATTGTTTCCACTTTGTACACGTCGAAGCCTCCGATAACCTCATCGAATAATCCGTGGGACTTGTTCAAAAACTCCACAACACTGAATGGCTGCATTTCACGCACAAATTCCAGGAAACCTACGATATCGCTAAACTGCAAGGTAACACAGGAATAACTCTCCGGAAGAACGGTTTCACGACGTCGTAGTTTTTCCACGACGCTTCTGTAAAATGAACCAAATTACTTTCGGCGATGTGGACTGCACTGTCGACCAGTTAATGAGCAAGTCAAATGGTGATTTTCACGGCTCATGCTGAATACTCACGCTGGGAGCATATGTTGCAAAAGGGCATCACACTTGGCTCGTTCTACCAGGAGATCCTGAGTACGGAGTGCTACCGCATGCTCCAGTTCAGAAGCGTATTTTGCCAGCGTCTGCATTACTCTTTCGACCACGGTTCGTTTTCCGTTTGCTTCCCGCAGGAGTCCGCACAAAGTCTCCATGGTTGTCCGCTCCGATGGATTGTTGTCCATACATTTCAATAAAGCCTGCGCCAACGAGGTGCTCTTGAAAGTATTATGTTCTTGAGTAGCGCCTAACGCAAAGGTCAGTTAATTTAGTCCCCTAGCTGTTATGTTTTCAGAATGTATTGAGAAAGCCAATGGCATATTGTACCGACCGTCTTTCACAGAAATTGTATTGTCTTCATAACATTTCTCCGCAAAGATTTCCCAGAGTAGCGTTCCAGCGGCATACATGTTACTTCTACTCGAAGCCTTGCCGCAGTCGTCAACGGCGATAATTTCCGGGGCGATGTGGTACATATCAAAAGCCGTGCATCTTCCGAAGCCTTGCACACCGAATCCAAACTTTAACATGCTGTAGACTGAGAAGTCCACCAGTTTTAGGTTGAAGTGATTATCGACCATACACGTTGAGCAGCTGATCAGTCCATGTTGGCGAAACGGAATGCATGTGTTAACAATTTTCACCGCCTACGACACAAGCAATCTTTAAAGAAGAAATTCAAGAAGAAAGGCGTTGCTGTCACGCTGCAGCTTTACGGCTGCTCTTTATACCTGTAGTAAATCAACCGCCAAGCTAATTTTTAAATTCCAGTCGAGCGTTATACCCGGTAATAGGAGAAACTGTTGTAAGGTGCCCCGCTGACAGTATTCATGCAGAAACATAACAGTTGTTGCTGATCGTTGAATTCCAATAAATCGCGCAAAATTTGCATGTATTAGTTCCATTCTCTGGAAAATCACTCAATATTGTTGCAGGCTGTGGCAAACTTCACTAACGATGTCATCAGATTATTTGTTTAACGTACCGTTTTAACGCAAAGAAGGAAATCGCGCTTCATTCGGGCTTGCCGGAATCTAACTGCGCTGTCTAGCGCACAGATTGTTACCGTAACCGGGCGGTCCTTGTATATAGCTTTCGTGTGGAATTGAAGATCTTTTGTCATTGTCTAACAGAGGCTGTGGTTTCTCGTCGCTTGTCGGGAAATCAGAAAATAACTACGTACCGTTTCAACTAATCCATCGTCAAAAATAACTGGTTCTTCAACTCCGTATTTGATTTTGTCAAGTTCCGCATCCATCATGACCTTTCTGATAACCTCAGTAAAACATTATTCAGAACAGAATTAAGATCATTGCGCTAATATCATCGAATTAAGATCATTCGTATTTATCACATTGTAGTACATTTTATGTATATCATAGTGTACTTCCAGGCCAATACCTGAGAACGATTACGGTAGCAGCAACAAACAGTAGCACTCCGCCAACAATTTCAAAGATGTTCCGCCGGGAACTTTCTAAATAAGTCCGAACTTGGAGGAGCCGCAATGGAGTCAAAAGGGGATCTGATTAATGGTGACCGATTATTGAACTAACCGGCACACGGCCCAGTTTTTCCGCTGAAGCCGCACTCTGGCATATCGAGAGGCATTTCTCCGCTGAACCATTCAACTGGTTTGATAGGCTTCAGCCAAAAAGTTGCGGCATCCTGGATCATAACGGGCTACAAAAATATTCAGCACGCAAACTTGAATTTATCGTCTGCTACTGCCGCTGTTGACGTAGAACCTCAAAAAGTCAGAGCGAACCTCGAAATTTCCGGTACTGAAATTCAGCTGCTGCACCTCCAGCTGTATTTGTCGTTCGCCAACCTCATCAAAACTAATTGTCCCCACCGGTGTTTCAACGGTGCGATTCCAAAACCATTTGGCCATAAACCCGCTTTCTGGGATAATGGAATCGGATGAAGTCAACGTGGACAACGTCGCGTTGATTACCTACCGGTTAGAACAAAATTCAGATATTAATGGTCATTAATTATAGTACGTAGTCAGTTCTCCAAACTCGCTCACCATTCCTAACATTCGCATACAGGCGTACTGCGTAATAGCGATCGGAGTGGGCTAACAGAAATCAGTCAAGAAAAATTATGCGGAAAATATAGCAAAATCCAAAAGCTAACCACATCGTTTTGCCGGTATGTATAATTGTAATCTGCTTTGGATCGACGTATCAGCTCTGGATATAGCGATTCTCTTGTACGCCTAGCCGCTGGACTGGATGGTGATGGAATAACCAGAAGGAGTGATCTGTATGCTGCAAAAGCAATCTGCAAACAGCGTATTTCACAAGTCAGTGCTGCCGAAAAATCACACGCAATAAGAATGTCTTGGGAAATGCTGCCTACTTCGTCCCATTCGTCGTAGTTCTGCCATGTCACGTTACCATATAACGATGTGAAATATTCATACGGCGTCATGGTAATGTAAACCTGCCAAATGCGTTCGACATTTAATTTAGAAGAGTACTGGGAATTCGCAACTTACATAATCGCCATCCGTCATATTGTTCTGAGCTGCCTGAATCTAAATGGAAGAAAGCCGGCGGAAATTGCCGCGCAGCTTGTACAACCCCGTGACATCGTCGAATGAAAGGTCTTACCATGAAGTTGCGGAGAATATCGGCATGTCCAAAAAACATTACAACTATGATAAACACTGCCTTATACAAAGGTTAAGGCAAAAATAATGCATAACTCAGAACGTACTGCGAGCCGTCTTTTTAATTTCTTGGAGCACCGTTGCGAAGGACTGACTTTTGCTGGAATCGACAGTGGTAAAATAAGCTGCCGCATGAGGCGTGGCTTGTATTTGCCCCGCAATGGCTTGGCTGATGACCGAAGCTACGATACCGGCCGTTCCGCCTATATCACACACCACATACACCGTCCGCCAGTTAAACCTTTGCAAAATGGACATCATGATTGCAATGTTTGGTCTGCTCATGATGGGTCCGGCCTGAATGATGTTCGGGAACAAAGCTTTATTCCGCCATGAGAATTCGTTGTAGGAGCTACCAATATGTTTACAACTTATGGTTAGTCGAAGAGACAGTTCTAAACATACCGGCTGCGACGGCTGTATAGTACGACTTACATAATATGCTGATAAACTAAACTAATTCGTACACGAAAACTCAGTCTGAAATAATGCATTTTTTTGCGTATCATAACAATAATCTAGTAACTTTATAGTGCCACCATGTACACGAGTACTTGTTGCACCTAACCTACCCAACGAGAACAAACTGGTTCCAGCCTGAAAAAACGAAGGACCAAGTAAAAAACCCAGTTAAGTGATGTCACGGTTGTGGAATCTATTTTATAATTGTAAAAGATAAAGGGTTAATTCTTACCTGTCGCAAGTCGAGCCACAGCAACCGCTTCACTGAAGCAACCTGCAATACTGACACTTTGGATGCGGACTTCGGCACATACATATTAGACTGACTCCTATTAATTAATTATCTTAATAACTGATTTAGCAAATTCCGAAGACATGGCACGAATAGTACGTAAGCCCAATTATATTTATACTTCGTACTGTCTAGAATCGAATCACTACAACAGTACTAGTACGTCAGCGGCGCCTTCACCTGGGTAAGCAAAAACCACTATAGTGGAATTCAGGCGCCGTCGGTAATAATAATCAGAGAGCATAAAGTGAAACCCATCGGCTGCATCATCGCAAGTTGCAAAGGAATGGTTGAAAATATACGTTTGTTTAACCGAGAAAAATTCTGCGTAAATCTTTTGAATGTGTTCCAGCCCGAGATCCATGGCCGGGCCCGTCAACGGAAGATTGCTCATTCCAAAGGCGCGGATCATTCCCGGCGTAATGATTTCCACAGTAAAGTGTGTGCAGTTCGATCGTGTTACCAAATATCCGACGAGCACGACAAAACAGCAAACGCTTAGCCAAGCACCAAGCATTTCTGGATTGTGGCTAATTCATTGTTTATGCACACTACTACAGCGATAACAGTCACTTCCGGAAATATTCGTCAAATACGAAACTGCAGCAGGCTTAATGGCAAGATGCCCTTCTCAGTGCCTGGAGGCTGGATATATTATTGCGCTGAACTTGATGATACGAGCATCTGGCGGAGTCTGATGCTGTCACGATGGATACGTGCAAATGGAAGTGACCAACGCGATATTAACATCATCCATTTTTAATCTGCAGCGATGCTGCCTAATTCGCAGTTGCACCTGATGAAAAAATCTGATTGTTTCGAAAAACCACACGATATGTATCAGCAAATGTATGATATCCATCTACTGACTGATACATGTGTCTCTACTCTGAGTCTATTCGATTTATGCAAGTACGAGAAAATGCCCTTGAGTCAAAGCATCGTTACCAGCAGCCGAGGAATTCCATAGGGCGTACCTATAATGAATAATTTATATTCTTATTCCACCGCAGCCAGCGATATCCACGCAGTCTGGAAGAATAGAACTGTGAAGGGCTTTCCCGTTTACACAACTGTCACGTAAACATTCCGGTGGCACTTCGGCGCGGATGGATTTGTCACTCATGCACGGGGACACGCTTATTACGTGCATGGCGCGAATGCAACATGTGACTGTCAGGCGTCTAGTGGCGTGCCTGTGCCGCAAGGACCAAAGTTGGAGCGGTTTTCACTGTTGCGACTCAATGCTGGGTTACCCATTGCGGGCAGCGTTTGTGGCCACTGATGATTCCTTCGCTACAAAGCGATGAAAATATTGCTTTTGGTACAAATTCGATCTACTTTACCATTTTTGCCGGCATCTGGTTTTGCCGGGCTGAGTAATTGTGTGATTGACATACCGAAAATATTCCTCTAAGCACCTTCTAGCGGTTGTGGTTCACAGTGGTTATACTTTGTGCGAGTAGTATTTGAGTAGTGTAAACTACTCGTTAACGTTCTTACAGAATATTGTGGTCCTTTAGAATGCGAGCGCGCCTTACTCGTACAGTCTTGATAGTCCCAAACCTTTCGTTATTGTATTAGATCAGATTATTAGTAAATTAAAAATCTTGTATATATGGGAGAACATTATTCATTTCTTGCTAGCCAGAATGTTTCCATCTTTCCTTTCCCTTTTATTTCGGTGGCGCCTCGTGGTATGCATCGTGTGTCCGAATGCTTCTCGTTCAACATTATGGCCGTTGTACTGCTTAGATGAATCCTGGAGCCTTCACCATGGCTCTGCATTCTCGCTGCCGTATTAACGGTGTCACCAAAACTGCAATCCCAATGCAAATTAGAAGAGCTATACATTTGTTAAACCATTAGGGCTATGGTCAGTTGTGGCCGTCACTACTGTACTCCTCCTACATGGTAACTCAGTCAGTTATCGGATTAGTAAAATTGCCCTATCTTATGTGCGTAACTATGATTGGTCACGTACAGACAATATCTAGGCCGCTGAAGGCCCGCCACAGCCGCGACACAAGATCCTAAACGAATATAAAGCAACGATGATTTCAGTAATGAAAGGTAAAACCGTCTTGCGACGTAAGAGAGGAAGATCTAATTAAAGGCTTAGAAGAGAAATGATTCTGTTTGATATACCGCTGTGAATCCCAATTCGCAGCTGCATTGTCGTTTGAGGGAACTTATTTTGAAAATCCATCATTAGACGCATTGCTACCCGGCACATTTCGTAAGCATGCCGATCGCCAATACTGTTGGGCACACCACTGGCAATCTGGGGGTTAAAAAAAATTACAATGATATTCAGTGGTGCTGCTTGAATGAGAGTTAATTACAAAATAAGAATCGCTGATGGTCTCCACTTTATAGACATCGTATGTGCTGATTGCATGATCGAATAGACCGTGCGATTTGTTCAAGAAATCAATGACCTCCCATGGAAGAACGGTCTGTGCGAACTCCATGAATCCCACAATATCGCTGAACTGTAAAGTAATTGCGTCAAACACTTCCGGCAAAATAGGTTCGCGACGCCGCAGTTTTTCCACTACCAACCTGAAAATAACATTAAAACTTACTCCTGAAAAAAAATTGTGAAGAGGGGAAATAAGCTCCATAAGGATGCGTGCGTTATTACGTACAAGGGGAGCATGTGCAAGAGAAGAGCGTCGCATTTTGACCTCTCGGCCATAATCTCCTGAGTACGGACTGCTACTGCATACTCTAAATCGCTTGCATATCTAGAGAGCGTTTTTAGCAGTTTTTCGGCAACTGAACTCTTTTCCCGGCCGGCTTTGAAAAACGCTTTCAAAGGATCCAGATTGGTACGCTTTGAAGCGTTCTGCTCAATACAGCTATTCAGTGCCTTTTCCAATGCTGGGTTCTTTATGTCATCTAAAAGAACGGAAACACTAGGAATGACTAAGCAACGGTATAATGTGCTGCGATGTGTTTGCAGATACCTACATTTTGTTAGATGGTGCTCCAGAATGGTTTCCGTGAGAATCTCGAGGATAATCGTGGCAACAGAGTATGCGTTGGTCTTGGTGGAAGTGCTACCGAGCTTCCTTGTAGCAATAATTTCGGGTGCGATGTGAAACCGATCACATACGCTGCAGTTTTCCAAATAGTCCACGCCGAAACCACATCGTAGCATGTTCGGCACAGTAAAGTCCGTTAGTCTCAGATTGAAGTGATTATTAATCATGCAAGTAGAGCAGCTGATTACTCCGTGATATCGCAACGGAATGTTGGTGTTGACGAATTTTGCAATCTTTCAGGACGACAAAATTTGTTGTTTATCCGGACCAAGAGAACTGAACTATCATAAAAAGGTCACAAAAGGACATTATCATACTTACTCGGAATAAATCGTCTGCTAAGCCCATTTTCAGCTCCCAGTCGATGGTTATGGGTGGTGATGCCAAAAATTGTTTCAAGGGCCCTCTTTGGCAGCAGTCATACACAAAAGTAACGATATCTTCGGTCAGTTCAATTCCCCAAAATCGGGCAACGTTAGGATGAAGCAAACTCAACGTCTACATAGTTCCTGAATTTAAATAAATACAAAGAAAAGTGTAGGTTACCTCGCAATTTCTCTTTACCATTTTTATACATCGTACAAAATCTCGGTTTTTGGTCAGTTGATGTTTTGACTTCTCTGTGTTGGAATACCGGCAAACTGTTAGACCAACAGGTTGTTCCTTGTAAGAAGCAGTTGCGTGAGTTATTAGTTGCGTTGTCGCCTGTCAACAAGCGAACTAATTTAGAGATATGAACCCCCTGTAACTGTGGAATTGCTTTGAACAGTTTTACTTCTTAATCCTACCATAGAGAGGAGATTTTGGTTCCGATTTGTGACACCGTCGAGCAAGAATGTCACTGACCTTAGCTGGATTTCCAATATGACCTTTCTGTATCATCACATTGCAAATTGTTAAGCATTTACAGTAGTATCGTGGGTCTACTAACTTAATTACAGTTTACAGTATTTATATTGTACCTTATAACTAACACTCCAACCACAAGAAGGAGGATCACACCAGCAATTATACAGGCGTCCGTCACTGATGTGAACCATCCCTGGCGTTCTGAAAGTGAACCAAGAAACTCATCGTTCAGAAAAATGTTTCAACTCAAGTCTCAACGTCTTACCGACCATCGTGGTTTTTGCTAGTAGTTTTACTTCGTTCCCCACCAACTTACCTGCTATCAATGCGCATGGTCCAGTTTGCCCAGTAAAACCACATTCCGGAGTGTCACGTGGTATACTACCGCTAAACCAAGTCAGCGGTTTTATTTCGGACAGTTGGAATGAGCCTGGTGTTTGGATCAGAAAAGCCTACACAAAGGGCCAAAAACAGTTTGCGTATTTCCTCCCGATTAAACTTTTGGAGTATGTATATAACGTAGTAAGGCGAGAAAATCAGTGCATAGAAGGATTCGGACCGATATGGTCAGTCATCCAGAAAGTCTTTTTTTTCTATACGACCTTACAGCACGCGGTCAGTGGTACTCAGAACGAGAGTACTCGTCAAATTATTCTTTACCTCAAATCTTCCACTGGTGATATTCATCTGCTGTATTTCTAGTTGTATAATTCTTGAGCCCACTTCATCAAAGGTAAGAGAACCCACGGGGGTCGTGAATGTTCTGTTGAAAAAACGAGTAGCCAGCCCACCACTTTCTTGAAAGGTCACATCACGACTGTCCGCCATAAGCGTTTCGTTAATGACCGCTCCCAGCATGTGCATACATGCATATTGGGTAATTACAATTGGTGTTGGCTGAAAATGTACAAGGTTTCATAAAGAACTTTGGCACGCTACTGACAAGGTTAACCTAAAAACGTTGTGCGCTTTTAGTTTTTAAGTTTTTACAAGCTTCGCATCACATACCACTTCATCGATCTTGTACGTGTAATTATACTGTTGCTTGGATCGTCGCTTCAGCTCTGGGTACATGGATTCTCTTGTCTCTTCTGCTGTTTTGATCGATGGCTTTGGAGTGACGATCAGCAGAGAACGGAATGCTGCAAACGCAATCTGCAAACCAAAGACGATAAGCAGACCAATTCAACTAAAACATAAAACGCTGATTAGTGAGTACCTCATCCCATTCATCATAATTTTGCCACGTTATATTACCATACAAGGGTGTTGCGTATTCAAAGGGAGCCATAGCGATAAAAACCTGTAATTGTTCAACCACAGTGGGATACTTACTGCGATTGAAGATAATCGTTCCGTCAGGCGCAATAATCGGTCACGTGTACTAGTATTATACTTACATAATCGCCGTTCGTCATATTGTGTTGGTGTGCCTCAATCTGAGAAATAAAAATGGCATTCATCGAAACGTTTATTTTGCTCCACTGACCATGAGTATGTTTACAGTTCAGTGCAGTTTATGACTTACTAGGAATTTCCGTAAAGAACTAGCATGTCCCCAAAACGACACCACTAAAAATAGGTATGCCATATTTTAACTAGTAGACCCCGTATGATAAGCTTTCTTCTCTTACCACGGGCCTGTGACTGAATGTCGCGCAAAACTGGCGCAAAGGTAACATTTTTTGTGGAGTCCAGAACTGACAAATAGGCTACCGATCCATTGGAAGCGCGTATTCGGGCGGTGAAGGTCTGGCTTAAGATTGCAGACAGCGGCCCGGCAGTGCCAGCCTTGTCGGCCGCCACATAAACGGTTCTCCAGTTCATTCTCTCCAGGAAAGACAACATCACCGTCAAAAAAGTCCTTGTAGTCACAGGTCCGGCTTGAACCACATTAGGATATATCTGCTTGTTCCTGAGTAATTCGTCGTTGTATGACCTTCGAATTTTAAGCCACATTAGTTACAAAACCATGCAGGATCATCATCATCAGGATTATTAACATTAACTGAAAGACATAAAATAGATCTCATACTTAAGAGATGAATTACAAAATGGATGAACGTAAATTGAACGCACAAAATACAACTGCTCTATTCGTTATAGGCTTTCGTGGTACCATCGCAAAAGCTGAACAGCGTTTCTGCTGCGTCGCATTGATTGTCAAATCTAGGCGGGCATGAACTCATGTAAAAGAAACATGCTATTTTTCACGTAGTACATAACCTGTTAATAAGAAGTGCGTGATTTCGACATTCAGATCATGGAATCTATTAACGAGATTGATTCCGCTTGTATGTGGGTATCTCAATATCTGTATATTCATGAAATCTCGCCTGTGCTTTGAAGTGCAGTCTGAGTAATGAACAAAAAAATTAAATCAAGTACAGCACATTGGTACAAAACCAATGTTTTCCCGTGTGACTATTTTTCGCTTTTCGTTTGTCAGTATCTCGTTGCTGAGTCTGATCTTTACATAACGGTGATCTGTGCTTTATGACTGATAAGCAGCTGAGCATGGATATTTAATTATATGTATCAAGATTCAGATCTATATTGCCACGAATGGGATACACCAGAGCCGGCAAACCAGAAAAGACTGACCAAAACCAATATTATATTCTGAAAGCCCGTAGTCGAAAACCCGGCCAGATAGTATTCATTTCTTTTAAAACCTCTCCCGCTTCGAGCGCCACAGCGGAAGAGTTTTGACTACCTTCACCAAATGTAACTAAATTATTATAATAATAATTATCATCGTGGTATTTTTAACCAGGCAATGTTGCCACGTAAACCAAATAAAATATAGTTAAAAAATGAAAGTATTTTCCACTAATTAAAATATCAGAATCAATTTAATTAGCAGACCGTTGGCGTTATTGCGACAAGAACGACTACATATCCAACGTTGTCATCGAGGAAAATTTCTAAACAAGTGCCGGCCAAGCAGCGATAGACAGAACTACCGCCACTGTTCAGTGCACAAGCCCGTTAGTTGACCGAAATACCACTACATTCTAGTTAAAATAACCCGCTAAGCCAGTGAGTGGCCGAACTGCCACTATGGATAGCTATGTGAGCGGCTGACCGAGCTGTCATTACTGTCAGATGCCGAGTGACCGAGCTGTCACTACTTTTCAGTGTAAAAAGCCCGTTAGGGAACGAGTGACCGAGTTACCACTACTGTCCGGTGCACAGAGCCCGGTAGGAGAGCGGGTGACCGGGCTGCCAATGCTGTCCGGCGCAAAAAGCCCGTTCGGTGAAGGAGTGCTGAGCTGCCACTACTGTCCGTGCACAGATCCCGGAAGTTGAGCGGGTGACCGAGCAACCACTACTGTCCGGCGCAGAAAACCCCACCAGTCCACCACTACGATCCGGTTGACAGAGCCAAAAGATACGAATAAAAACGATTAAAATAAAAATTCGAACAGCCCAGTCGTAGACCTCAAGAAACGCGAAAGCGAAGCCGAGATGAAATGAGTGAACGAGCTACCACTACTGCCCGTGCACAGAGCCCCGGAGGTGATGCGAGTGACCGAGCTGTCACTACTGTCAGTGTACAAAGTCCGTTAGTTGAGCATGTAATCGAGCTAACACTGCTGTCCAGTGTACAAAGCCCGTTAGGTGAGCGGGTGATCGAGCTACCACTTCTGTCCGGCGCAGAAAGCCCGGGAGGTGAGCGGTGACCGAGCTGTCACTACTGTCCAGTGCACAAAGTCCGTTAGTTGAGCATGTAATCGAGCTAACACTGCTGTCCAGTGTACAAAGCCCGTTAGGTGAGCGGGTGACCGAGCTACCACTACTGTCCGGCGAACGGAACCGGTTAGCTAAGCAAGTAATCGAGCCACCACTACTGACCGGACATACACCACTGGGCACACACCAACGTCCAGTGAAAAGAGCCAGTGAAGTGATGAGTTACCGAACTAGTGATCCAGTGCACTATCACTGTTTCGAATTTCACACCTTATAGACTGATATTTCGGCTTTTCGGGTGGGGATATCGTAAAATTATCTGTATGTACAGCGAAAGGGAATGCTTTCAAGGTTGAGAGAATCATGAACTGATTTTCATAGAAAATTCGTGTTTGTCCTATTGCATGTACTGATCATGTTTCGAGGAATAGACTGATGTAATCTAATAAATATTCATTCAAATTCAAATAAAATGGCCATGGACCACAAGAAACGCGGAGGCGAAGCCGAGGCTGTTTCTTGTATAATATATTGGACTGCATAGTATTCACGTGCGCTACTTCCTAGTTCTCTGAATAGTTTACTCCAATTACGGATAACGAACGCTGTGCTCCGGAAAAACAAAAGCAAGCAGCCCCGCCAAGGAAAAGCGAGGAGCCTCACTACACGCTGAAGTCTACGCCGCATTACCTAAAGATAACTACAAACCTCAAGGCTTGAAGCGGATAACATCATTAAAGAACTGCTTACCCGACAAGGGCTAATTGGTTCCAACCTGTATGAATAAATTTCAACAGTGTAACCGTAGCTATAAGAAGCAAAATTTCGTAATATCATATTTCTGTACGGTACCTGTTGAAAGTTTTGCGACTGCTACGGCATCGACGTTGCATCCTACAAGTACAGATATAATTATATGATTTTTTATAAAATATAGTAAACGAAAACTACTACTATTGTACGAGTAGAGATAAAAAGAGGAATTAGCATTAATAACCACGTGCTGCCACATCAGATTCTAGCAACTTTTTTATCAGTTTAACGCTGTACTGTTTAAGATTGATCAGAACAGGACTGTAGTAATTTTCTTGCTTAGTTCTGTTGTTATGAATGGTTATAAAACCTAGTTGTATTAAATTTTGTTATTCAAAATAATGGGAAGATAGCGAAAAACCCACCTGGATAAGCAAAAACTGTCACGTTTGCCGGAATACGTCTCCGATAATAATAATCGGAGACCATGTAATCAAAACCAGCTGCGGCATCGTCACAATTAAGAATAGTCAAATTATACAGGTATGTCAACTGAATTTTAAAATATTTGGCGTAGATGACCTGAATTTCCATTACGCCGATATCAATGGCCGGACCGGTCAATGGGAGACTGCTCAAACTGGACACATAAGCTATCCCCGGAGAAATAATTTCCACAGTAAAATCAGTGCATTTTGAGAAATTTAGGTAAATTGTCAGGAAGCTCACAAGCGTCCCAGCCTGGCGCGTCCGCATTTGCGTAAAGGTGAAATGTGCCGAGCGTTAAGCTACTAGGATAAACAGAGAGTTATAGTATTAGGAAAATGTAATTAATGCCATTCATGAACGAAAGCAATTATGAAGCGTTTTTTTGCAGTTGCTTCTATAAGGCGCATGATGCTCTGCCAGTCTTTGTTTTTCTAAAGAATGATAACACAAGAAAGATTATGTCCAGATATGTTCTGGAGATGAAATCGAAATAAACACGATTCTGTATCTCCCGGAAATCTCCATAGTACCAAAAAAATTAACTTAATTCCGCTGGTAGCATGCAGAACTCTTGCCATTTAATCAATGTATCCGCAATTACGTGTGTATCACCGTAGCTGTTTTGTAGGTATTCGACCGTCAGCTGCGATCGACTGGCAGATGCGATCAAACGAATAACTGAAACATTCAAAACGAAATTAAGCCATTCCGATCGGAAATCTCAATACCATGCATGCAGTTGTCCCCTGTCAGCAGCACAACGGGCGATGAATAGCCAAACAACGGTTGTCCTAAAAATTTTCCGTGGGCGTAATGACAGAGCAAGGTGATGCAGCTTAGCAGCCAATTACGACACAACACAATGGCTTTTGGCGTCACAAAATAATAATTTTAATGTGGGCGTGGGATATTGTTATAACACGCAGTGACGCAGCAAATCTTATCAAGGGATAAGATTTATACAGATATATCACAACTACGTAGGTAAGGGCCTGCTTAGAGTCCCGTAATCTCTCCATTTCTGCCTAAAGCATTACTACCAGCACGTTCTGGCTTATTAAGCTTGCTATAATACAGCTTGGCGTTCCGGGATCACAACGAACATGAACAACGCCATCGAAGTTCAAGGGCTTAGGGCACATGCACTATTATGCGGCAATGTTGGCCTATCTGTTGGTTGTAGAGATTCACAAAACGCACTGATGCACGAGAGATGGATTTTAATAATAAAATCCTGGCGAACGATTTTATCCGCTGAAGTGAACACGGACTTTGGTTTGCTTTACCTTTCTGATCAGCGCAGTAAGCAAAGCAATTAAGTTTTCATTTAATTGTTAGAAAGTAAAAGGCGTGCAACAGTGTGCAGGGTTGGTGGCTTGACCGCACTCAGCTTTAGGGGAGACAGCAGTTCTTCGGGGGATCTGGACGCCTACTTGCGCGGCGCGGGCGTTAATTGCTCTTGTTCACTTTGGCGGACAGAAATGTCCGTCAGGGATTTTATTAACAAAATCCATCCCCCGTTCATAAGGGTGTTTCGTTGTAGCAGTAAGCCACCGGCGACTTGCTGTTGCGCGCAGCATAAGCAAGCGATAAATAGCCTTACGCCATTTGTCCAAAAACTAAAAAGCTTCCGTGGGCGTTATGACAGAGCAAGGGAAAGTTATTAAAAGCAGCCAATCTTGCCAAGGAATAAGACCCCGTCCTATATCATAACTGCGCGGGTTCTCGTAATTTCATTATTTCTGCCTAAAGTTGTACTAACCATAAGTTTAGGCTTAATGAACTTTCTATATTATTTGTACAGTTGGCATTGTGGGATCACAAAAAATTTTATCTAGAGTATGTCATGATCTCATCCACGTTCAAGTGTACATGCTCCAAAAGTCACCAAACCAAGGTGACAGAAATCTTCTCAGATTCTCAACCAGAATGTTTCCATTTCTCCTTTGCCTTTGATCTGGATGCTTCCACGCGAAATGCACTCAAGCTCGTTTGTGGTTTCCGTAAGTAATCGGGCTGTTACGCTGCTAAGATGGATTCGTGAACCCTCACCGTGGCTTTCCATTCTCGAAGTTGTGTTTACGGTATCACCAAACCTGTAGCACAGAAAACACTAAGGTGTCAGCATTTAGCTGAATCATTTAATGGACGAAACCCAAAAGTTTTTAAAGCGTTTGTTTTGTAGCGATTGGAGATCGCTTACAAACAATATCGTGGTCGCTGCAAGCCGGCTACAGCTGCCACACAGGATCCTGTTGATGCCCGCGAAAATAAAAAAAAAAAACAATTTACAATAAACAGTAAAGCATTTCAAAATAAAAGGTTCCCAAGCTTACCAGTGTGAATTCCGATTCGGAGCTGCATATCTGATTGGCTAAATTTTTCCCGAAACCTTTGCATCAAACACAGCGCAGCTCGGCACATTTCGCAGGCGTGCTTATCGCCAATGCGCTTTGGTAACCCGCTGGCAATCTAAATTCGAGCTCGTTGGTTATTTGGTTATTTGGTTAAGCATAATGCACACCTGCATTCTCTTACAAAATACGAATCGCTGATCGTCTCCACTTTGTACACTTCAAACCCACTTATTGTCTCATCAAACAAACCGTGAGATTTATTGAGGAACTCCACAACATCGAACGGAAGAACATCCCGTACAAACTCCATGAAACCCACTATATCACTGAACTGCAAGGTCACCGATTCGAAAGTTTCCGGGTGTACAATTTCTTGACGTCGCAGTTTTTCAACAACCGTCCTAAACAGCGCCGTCTGTTACCCGTGCTGGCCGTGCATAAAAATTCAAAACAGCACATTTAAATAAAACTTGGATGCTTACGCTGGAAGCATGTGCTGCAGCAGAGCATCACATTTTTGTCGCTCTGTCAGCAGATCTTGTGTTCGCAATGCCACCGCATGCTCCAGATCATTGGCGTACTTGGAAAGTGTTCGAATAACCTTTTCTACTACTGTCCGCTTCCCACTGTCCGCTTTGAACATATGCAGCAGCTTATCAAGTGTTGTCCGACTAGATGGATCTTCCTCCATACACTTCCAAATAGCCTTTTGTAATGACGGCTTCTTGATTACGGCCATGGAAGGAGCGCCTTCTGCATTGAAAAATACCAACTATATCTTATCAAATTTTCTACTATGGCAAATTGTGATAAGGCAAATTGTAGCAGCAAGCGCTGACTGCGAGTGTTTTACCTGCATTTAATGGTGTCATTGAATGCTTTTCCAAAACAGCTTCCATTACAATTTCTACAATGACTGTCCCAATGGAGTACATATGACTTTTTGCCGTTGTGGCTTTGAAATCTCTTGAGCGGACGATCTCAGGCGCTATGTGAAACTGGTCATAAGAGCTGCATTCCGCCCAGTAATCCAGAGAAAAACCACTCCTTAGCATGGATGGTGCCGTGAAATCCGTTATTTTTAGATTAAAATGATTATTGATCATACAGGTTGAGCAGCAAACCAGCCCATGATACCGCATTGGAATGCCCGTGTTAATTGCTTTTACACCCTGTCAGAAAATATGCGTATCTCCTTCTCGGAATTGTTCCACTTTTGAATCTATCACCCTTACTTGAAGCAAATCAATCGCCAATCCACTTTTTAGATCCCAGTCCAGAGTGATCTGCGGGCTAGTTAAAAAGCGCTTTAAAGTGCCCCGTTGGCAGTAGTTATAAACTAATAGAACTGCATCTGTTTGCAGCTCAATGCCAATGAACCGGCTGATATTCGGATGGAAAAGGTCCAGCGTCTGAAAAAATACGCCGGGTATATTCATAGAACAAATTATGCGAGTATGTTCATCGTATATTGGCAGCGCAGTCCGTCGTTACCCCTTTCACACAGATCAGGAATTCCCGATTGGTCGACATTGTTTTAGATTTTTCGTAATTGGAAAGAGGATACCGCACTACAGATACTGGTTGTTCCTTGTAGAGCGCCGTTTCATGAGCTTTCTCTTTGCCTGTGCCCTACACAAAACTTGTTACCCGGTTCGCCAGCTATTCTTACATCAGTTTCTGAAATAATCCACTAGTTTACCAAATTCTCGCTAAAGACAAGCGGCGAATCCAGATAAAACTTGGTTGCCTTTAGTTGAGACTCCGCCGTCAGTTTCCTAATGTAATGCCGATTGAGATGCAATGCCGATTGAGTAAACGTGCGATAATTACTCGTAAACCAGTGCTTAGAATGCCCCTTACCTGACGATTAGAGCACTTGAAACCAAAACAACAGTCACCCCAACGATAACACCAACAGCAATCGCTATCACAGCCCTACGCGCATTTTCTAAAAACAAAATACAATACAAGCTGACCAGCATCACATTATAGCACTAGTGAGTAGCACCTGCAGCTAGTGCACATGGTCCTGTTTGCCCAGTAAAGCCACATTCAGGGATGTCGCGAGGCAGATCTCCGCTGAACCACACAAGCGGCTTAACGGAGACCAGGCGAAACGTATACGGATCTTGGTACATAAACGCCTGTACAAGATATGCAACCATGTTTCAAACAATTTTGCATTGTGGAGCCATCAACGATTTCCGTATGTACGAGTACCTCAAATTTTCCTGTCGACAGATTCATCTGTTGCACTTCTTGCTGCACTCGGCGCTCACCAACTTCGTCGAAACTAAATGGTCCCACCGGTGTCTGAATCGTCCGATTCCAAAAACGTTTGGCCAGTCCACCGCTATTTTCAATGAACAGACTGGATCCGTTTGCACCAGTCAGTGTTTCGTTGATAATGGTACCCAGCATGTGTATGCAGCCAATCTGGGTAACAACGATGGGATTTGGCTGCAATCAAAGCCAACAATCAGCAAGAAGTGAAGCAAGAAAATGTAAGCGGACCACACGGCATACCACATCGCCGGGTTTGTACGTGTAGTTGTATTTGCTCTTCGACCGCCGGATCAATTCGGGAAATATTGATTCTCTCTTTTTTTGCGGCTTCCCCCGAAGAAGATGGGATAACGACGAACAAGGACTTGTACGCTTCGAATGCAATCTATCGCAACATTTTTTGAATTGTTGCTCGCAAAAGTCCCAAATTCCAGAACTACCTCGTCAAATTCGTCGTTGTACTGCCACGTTATGTTGCCATATAATGGCGTTGGATATTCAAACGGACCCAAGGCAACGTAAACCTTTACAAAAATACTTCCCTGTTCAAAAGTCCTATTGCCAAAACAGAAAACTGCTTACATATTCGCCATTCGTCATGTTGTTCTGGTGGGCCTCTATCTTTAAAAAAATTATTCACTTCTCAAATACCTGCACTCTTACAAAGCAATCTCTAGTAAGTACGTACTTACCATAAATTTTCGTAGTGCGTTGGCGTGACCCCAAAAGCTGATAACTACGAACAACATTAGTAAAGAAACTCTGGCAAAATAACGCTTGAATCCTTGGCACCCGTACTTCGTGCTGTTGTTTTAATGTCGCGAATGGTCGCTGTAAACGTGTCGTTTTTCGTGGTGTCTACTGTGGATAAGTACGCGACGGATCCTGGTGTCGCGCGTAACCGTGCCGTCACCGCTTGACTACCAATCACCGAGACTGCTCCTGCAGTGCCGCCTTTATCACAGACAACGTACACAGTCCTCCACGAGAATTTCTGGAAAATGGATAAGATAACCGCCAGGATCGGTCGGGCCATAATGGGGCCAGCTTGTATGAGGTTAGGGTACAGCGCCTTATTTCGCCAGGTATTCTCGTTATATGACCTGCAATCGAAGATATCGTGAAAGTTGAAACGTATTTTAGGGCGTTGCACTAAGTTAGCTTGTTACTACGGACGTGAGTGGTTAATTCTTATGTTTCCCGTGACAGTGCAAGATTTAAAGAAATCGAATTCGATTATTCGACCGGAACGCACTGCAAATTAAGGTTACGGTGAACGCTAAAAATATGAACTCCGCTTGCGTTGCAGCGGCGCATGAGTTACATCAGATCGCAAGAGCGACCGCAGTTTTTTCGTCACGCAAAATTTACACTGTTACCCAAAAGCGCATAATTCCAAGAACTGACGACCAGTTAGACATAATGGGCACATAAGCCGCTGAGTTAATCCATAAGCACGCCTTAAAACTGAATTTGTACCAGGAAAACTTACCCAACAAGCACCAACTGGTTCCAACCTAACGTCACGGAAGACCACAAACAAAGGGTCAGGTTAAACATATTAGCACGACCAGCGTAACCGTTGCACCATTCTTTTACCTGCTCCAAGCTTGGCAACCGCAATAGCCTCCATGTAACAACCTGGAATATGTAGGACGAAAATATAGCCTTACATATTACGGTATAAAGTACAAAGTATTAGCAGAAGCCAGAAAGTGTAACTACATTAGATACACCACTGCTTAACATCGACAAAAGAAACTTTGTGCAAAAATGATTATTATAATCTGATTTCAGCTAAATGCGTTCATTTTCACACAGCACCTGGATAAGTGAACAAAGTAAGGTTCACTGGCCGCCGTTTGCGGTAGTAATAGTCGGACACCATATAGTCGAAACCAGCGGCAGCATCATCACAATTCAAAATGGAAAGATTATACAGATAAGTCAGTTTCACTTGGAAATAATTGGAGTAAATTCTCTGAATATCTTCCACTCCTATATCAATAGCGGGACCGGTCATGGGAAGACTGCTCAGACTAGACACATAGGCTATTCCCGGCGAAATAATTTCGACACTGAAGTCGTCGCAATGTGATACGTAAGCCGCAAACGCTAACAACTGAACAGATTTTCTAAAGAAAAGTAACATGCTGTGGCTTTTTGGGGAACAAACAAATGCAAACCGAATTTCTTCCTCGATAAGACAAAAACACCGGAGCAATGAAAAAATTTGCGGTACTGAAGTATTGTTTATCCGCTCTAAGCTGGTATCCGTATTGCACAAATAATGATTATAAGAAATCGAAGACCTAGAAGTATTCGCATTAGTCGGGAGTTGTAGCGTATACGCAACATAAGTTCGATCACAGCAGCAGTATCCTGAAGACTATTCCAAGGTTTCCATTCCAGAAAGACTGCCATATTGGTGCACCAGTCAATGTACTTAATAAATTCATTACCGCACCGTTGTTTCTGCAGAGATCAGGGATGTCGAGTGACGTATATCGAACATTTATTGGATTTGACTGATTGATGCCTTATTATTAAAAATCAGTTGCCACAGCCAAATAAATGTAAGCGCCTAATTTGGTACTTTATGGCTTATGCTAAACCTGCAATAGGCCCAGTAGCCGGACACGGCTATTACTGCATAAGTGAAGGTGTTAAGTTATTTATTCAACATTTGACACCACAGTCGCGCATATCTTTTCGCATTCAGCTGCAGGGGTGACTCTTGTGACAGGGGGCAGACTCCATCCAGATTATCCGGAGAAAATGAATTAAATTTTTAAAAGAACGAAAGATTCGAAGGCGTGACCAATTGATTGTTATGGTTTGCTTCGTCGAAACTAAACTATATACGTAATAATTTTAACCCATTTCCCGTGAAAACCTACAGAGGTTGAAAAAGGTTGCCCAAAAAACGGAAGATGTAAATGCAATTCAAAGAAAACTTCTTTATGCGTGCTGTTTCCAGTTTCGGGGTATACTTTAGGGACAAAACGGTATTGTTTTTAGCGCAGATTAAGAGGTATCAAAACCATTAGGCGCGATTCAAGCATTACGTAAGCTATGCTGTTTTTTACGCCGTGTTCATGGGGTATCAAATTATGGACTGATTAATATTTTACTGAAAAATGTATTTTACCGCAGATTAAGTACAAGGTCAAAATCCAAAACCTATATGCCTTACTGGCATCTGGGATAAATTACAATTACACTTACCGATACCACGATTGACCTTGCAGAACGTGTGGATTTTTGGCGGCTTGTCATGTTTTAATTTGTAAATAAAACTGTAAATACAACTGGCAGACATTAATTTTATAGGGAAAACTAGGAACCACATTGTGCACATTGTGATTCACACTGATATTGGTTTTGCTGCAACATCCGAGGCCAAAACGAGATAAAATATTCGCTTTAATTTTGACCGATTCCGATCTGCCGTTCAGCGCATTAGTTCATCCGTACACTGTAATTTGTAACACCTTCAAGAAATTCACGAATTTCACCCTTTTCCGTACCTGCGTTAGGATAGGTTTATATAACTTCACCAAATCGGTGTGCATCAGGACATAACAAAACTTTTCAGCGTGCGAGCGTTATGAACTTGTTTATACTGTACACTCATAGCATTACGTAATCTCCAAACTTCGCTGACAGTAAATGACAAAACTTTGTTCCATTCTGTTTCTCCTTTCCCTTGTAGCCGGGTTACATGATAACGTTAAACCACCACCGAAAGAACGAGGGGTCCACAAATTTTTGTTACATCGGAAAGGAAAACGTTTCGTTCATAATTTTTGAGTGATTTAATCATCCTTGTCGCGCGCGCATGATACGAGTGAACTCAAAGTTCCAGAAAATGTTTTTTACAATGATCAGCAGGGGTGGTGAAGTGCAGACCGATGTCCGAATTTGGCAACTGAAAGGCCAAGCTGGTCAGTCTACCGCTTATGTAACCGTCCGCGACCAGACCCCTTCACTGATAAACCAGATAAATGATAAACGATAAATAATATGATGATAAACGATAAAAAATGTGATAAACATAAATGAGAGTGGAGGGTGGTTTTCGCTTTCGTAGGTATACAGGTATACGTAGAAGGTTCCAGTTTTATGGTTGTTTTCAATACGCGATGATGCGGTCACACTGGGAATGTGCGTATGAGCATCGTAATCCTATCACTACCTCCTCGCTCCCGCTAAACTGCTTTTCTACCAGAGCACATTGCTGACCTGAGTATTAATTAAGTCGTATTTTGCATTCTTGTTGTGTTTGCGTGGTATTCTATCAGTATGTGCCTGGAAACTGCGGAACAATTTAAGAACACAGTGCAACTTTTCATGCATTGTGTATTTTGTATTCGTATTAACTAGCAACTACCACGATAAGTAAACTAACAGGTGTGACAAAGCAATTTTCGCTCATATTGCACATATTACTAACTACCCTAGCTGTTTGTTAGCAGCTTTGTCTCGGCTGAATTTGACAACCGCAACAATTTTTTCTAATAGTGCAAACGGTATTCACATTTCACAAGCATCCACGGACAGTTCATGAAACTAATTCCCGCTCTGCTCTGACGGCTGTTGAGGGAATTTCGATCCAACGGCAATGACCACGAAGAATGGCAGAAAGCAAAAGGTTATGCGGCATTAACTGCAGTGTTTCTCTAATCATTATGGGCACACGCTATGCTCATTGATCCCCATTGGTTGATTGTCCGATGAGCTGTGCGCCGCGTTCAATTCCCCGAAGATGGACAGTACGCATACTAACCGCAAACATAAATAAATGCGATTATGTTTCCAATTGGACATTTCTAGGCCACGACAGCGGCAGAATGTACAATGAAACTCTGTATACCCCATTTCAGAGTCCCAAAGTGGGAAACCATTAAATTCTTTCATAGAAGCATAGTAAACTTGATGGCCTTTACATGTTCATTACTGCAACCGTTGTTTAATGTTGCTATTTATATATACTATGGGTGTTTTCTGTGGGAGTACGAAGCATTGTCCTTGGCAATGCTATTGGTAATCGAAGTTTGGATTGTGCCGGTCACGTTGCTTAATGAAAAGCCAGCCGGGAAATGGAAATCAAAGAAGGAGTCTCCATTAAGGAAATGTGATGATCCAGCAGCTGAGATTAAATCATCATACCTAATTATCCCATCCCCAGGATTAACGAGCAGCATATCCGGCAAACAGCGACGACTGGGACGTTTCATACGACCCGGCCCCCTCCGCCAAATTACCCATGCAAATAGTGCACAGCGCGGCCAAGCACTTAATTGTCGAGTGTCAAAGCACACAAGACAGAGCGCGCAAAACGCGGGCTTAACGCCGTCCGCACTATGCTCGTACAGCTGATGGGATCGGATCATTTCGTGTGTGTATGTAAAGGCAGCCAACAAATCTTGAAGGAAGTATGATGTATTAGTGGAAATAATCGATAAGTGATTCGCCCATTCGTTTCATTTCCCTAGTGAAATGCCGCGCGTACTACGGAATAGCCGCGCGCGCGTCTGTGTGGCGTAATATACACCGGCAGAATTTGCCGGGTTGTGCAAATATGAGCTCTGGTCAAAATTGAGCTCGGGAATATCTAGACGGGTCTTTGTTGTGCTGGCGCGCGGGATAAAAGTTTGTGCAAACGTCTCAGTGTTAGGCCGGATTGACATATCGCTTTCCCGCGTCAGTTGTATGGTGTTTATCTTGTACTTATGGACAAGGGCCTTGTTCTTGTGTGGCGCACAACTTGCTGGATGCGCCATGCCGGCAGCTATGTCATTATTTGATCTTTATCCATGAAATTTGTCCTGTTCCGGGGAAATACTGTTGATGCTGGTTGCGCATGCAACAGATTCTGCAACATGGACCGGAAAGATATGCGCGAAAGGTTACAACAAGGTAAACGTAATTAAACGATTAGGAAATTAGGCAACACCTGCTGAATGTATCCGGACGTGTTTCCTGCGTTTGGTCAGCCAACCGTCTCTTGTTTTATATACAAAAAGGTCACAAATGATGAGTAAGTTGTGCGTTTATTTACTAGTACTAGATATTTTACTCTATTAATCGGGCCGATCGGCTAGCCAATCATAAGTAATAAATTTAGTCGAATTTGCTATGTATAGACTATAGAGTAGTATGTACATAGCTTAGAATACATAAATAATTTATTGTATTTATGCTGAATGATAAGTGCGTGTAATGTTAATGTCGTGGTTAACATGTTGCGTAACGTATTATTGGTCCGTTTAGTGCTGGAGCAATATGCAAAATCACCGAACTGGACGCCGCGGCAGGAAATACGCCAGCCAATGTTTTGGAAGTCCGTTCGAGCGGAATTTATCGGTTCTTTGATTCTGATTGTCTTCTCCAGTCATTCTGATCCATATATTGGACCTGTCAGTTATGGATGCACAGTCGCTATCCTCAGCTATTCCTTCAAAGCCACTAGCTCATATTTTAATCCGGTGATAAGTTTTGCCGCTCTCCTGTTACGCTCCGTAACACCCTTCCGCTGCTGTTCACTCATTCTAGCGCAAACAATAGGTAGGCTTTGTTAGCCAAACGTTTTTTATTAAGAGGACAAAGCACTAATTAAATTTCACTACTTAGTACAACAAATCTTCCACAAAATTGCCTTAAGGTATAGACAAAGTACTTATGAAACTGATGTACACAGAGTATATATATTATGCGTCAGATGTGTATATATTATCCCGTACGTAAAGTTGCAGCAGTTTGCAAAGTCGCCGTAATTCTTATCAATTTAATTTTTAAACTGTTTAAGCTGGTTTTGAACGATAGCGTATTTTGAACTAAAAAAATTAGAATTTTATCTTTCCTTGCAGGAACTATATCAGGCGCTACGGTGATCAGCCTAGGACTAGCGAGTAATTCAACATCTGTGATACTTCCGGAATTGCACGTTAATCCTGCCAAAGGTGCAGTTCATATGGCATCCCATTTCCTCATTGGTTCTACTTATACTTTTTTCATTACCGGTATGTTAATGGGAGTTTTTTAATAGGTTTCGGTTACGAGTTTTTCGGATCCCTTGTGGTAATTCTGGTCATGGCAGCCCAGCTGGAAAAATCAACAGACTATGATCCGCTCTTTCCTCTGATGACCGGTTTAACTGTTGGCACAGCGTCTTCACTAGCGGTATGTCGGCGCATCTATAATCACTAAACTGGAACTTTTCTTTGCCAGTATGTACCTCGTAATAATTACAGAGAACACAAAAACGCGAGCTTTTTTAATTTTTTTATACAACAACGTTATTATTTTCATTATTGTGGCCTGAGGTTCTTAAAAATATCAAAAACAAGCGCATGTTATTGCAGGCGTTTAGTTGTAAAGGACAAATTACGCTCATTTATACTCTGGAGTTTTTCCGGCTTAAATTCGGCATCTGTAAATTAATTTATTCTTTCTGGAAGTAGTACGAAAACATTATGTCAGATCGGTTGAATGGCTGCCGGAAATGCAAAGGATTTCAAATTGTATGGAACATGATAGCATTGATTGCCATTGATCGGCGAGCACTGTATAGGCTGCGTGCTCAAGAGTCCTCATCAATTTGTATGGGAACATAACTCCTGTGCACTAACAAGATCACTTGTATTCACTTCCTGTCGTCCAATTTGCAACTAATTTCCAATTCTATTTCTAAACTATCATTCTCCTGTCAAACACAGGCTTAACACTTACGCAACGCAGGACGAATTCGATAATTATGTGACAATTTTCTGGCCAACTCTAATAAAAACTCGTAAAAATAAAAACAGTTATATTTTCATTTGTACCAAGCCAAACACTCATAAGTAATCTGCAAAGCATGCAATGCCGCACATCCCGTAGTCCTATTTCGAATGATTTTCATTTCAGGTTAGACTGGAAGCAAACGACATTTTGTTGAGTATTTAAAAAAATTACTAGACCAATTCTACTCGTAGTATCTGTAGTATTGTTTAATGGACGCTATCCACAATTTTTTTCGTGGAATTTTGTATTTCCTGTACTTCTACACTGAATGTTACGATTCCTGGGCTTTAGCTACTGTATTTTCTGTACATTCACTGCTCTTATTTTGGAAAACTTAAATAGCAATAATTAATACCGCGAATTGATTATATGTGTCATTGTATTACGTACGTCCCAAGAATTTTACCACTTTGAGACAAAAATGCCAAATTGTCAGCAATATTACACTAGTGTATTACACCAGCTAGATAATACTTGTCCAACAGAAAAGTTATGTGGCAGGCGACTTCCGTTCACGAGTTTCTCATCCGTACTGTACTGTACTGGCGCGCACGGCAATTTCGTCGCTCTATTCATGCTTGGTTGGAGGACGTAATTCGATTTCACGTAATGGTTATTGAATAGCCACATCACACAGCGCCCGGCTAACCGGGCCTAATGCTCACACCCGCTAAGTTTTTATTGTTATCGCTACTTGATTGCAGTGCGAGTAGGCCTCCACGTAATCTTTGCGTGGACAATAAATGTCAAAATGCCGCATTCTTTAAGAAAGCGGTCAATTGCACGACACCGTCCGCACTAGCCTTTTAACACCCATGACCTTTGCGTGATCCAGGCTATATAGAAGAAAGTCTTACGAGAGGCAGTAAACCGTTTCTGTGCGCAGAGTTGTACATCGATATCTCCGTAGAATCTGTATATAAAACGCTTTCATGGAGTAATGTTTCCTGGATTAGTACGTCAATCACTCAAAAATGTCACTAACAACCGACACAAATCAGCTGGCCGTTTTTGACGTAATGTCATTTATCCACAATAATCCATCTAAATCCTATGTGTAAATGGGCTGAGAAAATACTGTGGTTTTGATTAATAATGCTGGTCATTTGTAGCGCCTGGGGACGGGCGGCTTTCTCAATCCAATTCGGGCTTCCTCGTTAGCGCTCTTCCAGGACTGCTGGAGTCATCACTATGTAAATCCGCCGTACTCGTGCAACGTCTGGCTTTTATATATGAACGTCACTGTAATGTAAATGGTTTTTTTTGGCTGATTGTTGCAGATTTACTGGGTGGGACCCATTCTCGGTACACTGCTGGCCGTCTTCACGTTCGATTTCATACGACCTTCAAGGACGAAGCCGAAGCCGGATTCCACAGCGATGACAACATCCGATAGCCGGGCAGTTAATCTATCGACAATCGTTCGGTCCGATATCGAGTTCACCCAACAGGAAACGGATATCACACAGCTTGCCACATTAAGTTAATCGCCAAGAAAAAATGTCATTTACCACCAACGAATTCGGCGCAAACGCGCGCGCTAAGGAATAACAACCCAAAATTAAGTTTTACCGGAAGAACTCGGTTTCGTGATACGTTAACCTGATTTATTCTTCCTGCAACGGTGGTCGAAATTATTGTTGTACAGATACCTCATAAATCGTTACAAGGGCTTGCATGATGTTCAGTTTAACACAGATCCGATAAAATCCAACAAGAAGGTAATAAGAGATAGGTTGGGCATGTTAAGCAACAACATGCATGCATGAGATAGGTTATAACATGTTAAGCAACAACATGCGCTGCCAAAATGACCAACCAGGTTGTAGTGTAAATTATATCCATCACTGGCAACTGAAACAGATCAATTAATGCACGAGAACGCTTTGGACACACACTTTCTTGTCCTTGTTTTCCGTGGGACAACACTTGACTAAACGTCCACTGCAGTCGTCGTCGCTCTTGCAGAATTGTGTGTTCATGCAAGGTTCTATCAAGAAAAAAAATATCATAAAGATTATTAGGATTATATCGTATTCAGGCTTTATATGTAGCATACACAATAAAAGAATCACTTACGTTTTGTGCAGAAACTGGAACCACCGATTGTGCAACATCCCCAAGATCTAGCACAGTTAACGTTTGGGCTGTTAGGATCCATCTCGCATTTGGGCGCAGGGCAAATGCCTGACTTTTTTTCTATAAAATAACACTTTTGCTTTTTGCACGCAGCCCCTTAAGGTCAAACTTGCGCCTACCTTTTGCCGAAAGCACGGTATTTGCGACTGCGAGTACGACCAAAAGGGCCGCGACCATATAAACACAGCGAGGCATATTCACGGTAGGAGTATAACCCTTAATATCGGTACTTAATAATCGAAAATAAAATCCTGGACTTTCCAAATTTCACTTATTATATGCACCTCTGCTTACACCAGTTTTTTGAAGACGCTTCTGAATGATATCTAAGGAACTGAGCTATGCTCTGTCATTTATTTTGTATACTCTACTTAGACGACTTTTGTGAACGAGCTTTTCAAGTAAAAAGCTCGTTAAAAAGTGCCTCCAGGTATAAGTTGTTATAAGACTTCTTGAGTCAACTGATTAAAAAACAATCAAAACGGATATTAGTTTGTTGTGAGTGCAGTTGCACGCTTTTTTGCCAAAAGGATGTATATCACGGTTCAAATTCGTTTACTCTGTAGAAAACAGTCCTTCTACAGCTTTCGGTACTGGTGCTCGTATGTCTGATACTGCGTGCCTACGGCTGACGGTTTAAATATGCGAATTTCTAGCATAGCAAGACCGCTTTTTTTAGAACAGCTTTACTATACTAGCGATCAGGTTTTGGCTAATTTTGCTAACCACTATTATGTAAGTGTTGTGAACCATTGACTACTAGGTCTAGTACGTACTTCGTAGTGGCAACATCGTGGAGAACAGCGAAATATATATTTTACGGCGAGTACCGTTATTCCGGCACGCAAATTGCTGCTGTATAATTATGTAAAAAGCGCAATTTAGGATCTACTGTAACTCTGTATTACGGTAATCACACTGTGGCAGTGTCAAACGGTTTAAATATCCACTTCAACTGACAGTGTGTTCCCATTCGCACAACTTTATTCATTTTGGTTTTACTACTTGTGCTGCGCTGTTGAAATGTTGCCGCCATAGCTGATGCACAACGTGCCCGTATGACCAAATCCCAGTAGTTCGATTGTCAGAGCTCATCGAAGTTGAACTACTTGAACGACAGACATGTGCTTTGCCCGATAAATACAGCAATTTTGAAATTTGTATCGCTGTGCACAGATACAAACTGCAAAATGGGTAAACTATCGTTGGAACGTTCTTCGGCTCGTTCGCCTTGGTTGTCTAAACGTGGTACCCGCGTAATCGCATAGACTTAAAAACAAGATGACCATCAAGTGAATGGCAGTTCCGTCATTTCCGTAACTGCATGGCAATATGTCGGCGTTTGTGTTCGATATCCGATATCTTCATGTGGATAACTGTAACAGCAATAAACAAGACACTCGTGTTTGCAAAGGTCAAGACTCGTATAATACCGTATGGGATAAATTTTAGTCCTAAAACGCGTCGTTCCTTGTTTACTTTACGAACACTTGTGTAAATGATGAACCTTTGGGCAACATGCAGTTTAACAGCGTATAGCATCAAGCATCATCAAACTCCAGCTAGCACCTACGATGCTCAGCGTTTACTGATAAAACTGTAAAAAACTTCATAAGCCGCTTAACAGTGCACTTGGCGATTTTATTATAATTATTATCGTACTGTAAAGATGGGTTTTCCATAAAGTATTGGTCTAAAATGTGGAAACTTTGGCTAAAAGCCAGGCGTGGTTCGATGGTAAAATCTGGCACGGCCGTCCAAAAAATAATCACATCCTGGTTAAATGTGCTTTGTTTATTCATATATCTCCCATATAAAAATGTTCCTTATGATCGTTCTACCTTCTGCCGCCCTAGGCACCGGACCATTTTTGGGAATTCAATAGCTGTCATTTCATTTATCGGTATGTTATGTTTCTGCATCCTGAAAGTATCGCTTATCGGAAACAAGGAAGCACCCCAACATCCAAGTGATTTGTTACGACTGGTGTCCAGCACTTTACCAGGTATCTGGGTTCCTTTCATGCCGCTCGGTATTTCCAGAAGTCTCCGTCATATCGGTCATATTTTTGGTGATAACAGCCCTTACACACTACTTAACTGCAAGTATCTTAACCGGAAAAATCGGGCGCATTTGACAGGATTTGCATGCATTCTAACTATGCTCTGTATCTATTCTTTATGCCTGTTTATTTACACGGTTTACCAAGAATGCCGACGAACGGTTTATATCGAAAGCAGCCCGCTTTTTCAGTATCTGGCCCTGAATCGGTCCGTTGTGCATATTTTGAGTTGCGTTTTGTATGTAGCCGGTCGCTGGGTTGATTGTTGCAACACTTTGACAGAATGCTTATTAACCTTCGTAGCTGCTGTCTTTGGTCTTTGTTTCAAGAACCTGCGTAAGTTGTATTCCGACGTCAAAAGAAAAGAAGACCGGGAAATTGTTTTCCAAGATTACAGCAATCTATGTAGTAATATTCAACGGCTGCAGAAAGACACCGGCTTACTCTGGTTACTCCTTTACCTGGATGGTCTCGTCTCGTCTGGGCGCTGTTTGCTGTAGCGAACATGTGGGATCCGGCGCCCACCAGGAAAATCTTAGAATCCAATTTGTTTGCCGGAAATCTGTTATTGAGATTGGTTGGTAAAACTGCAATATTTGTTTGGATGAATGACAAGGTAAAACGTCTAAACTGTTTATTTAGAAAGGTTGCCGCAAATGCACCCGAGCAATAGTAACATTATGTGCAGTGTTGTTGTGGTGCCTTATATGCTGTCTGCGTACCCTATCAGGCAGGAGCTGTAACAGATGAAATGACCGATCGGATAATCAGCGATCCCGGTTATCAAGAAACCAAGACCGACTTCGTTCGTGTTACTTTATTGGACAACAACCATGTCGGATTTTCCGTTGGTGGCTTGGTGAATATCGATCGCAATTTCGTCACCGGTGTAAGTCTCAACAGCCCTTGGTGTAATATTTTTGGCGTTTACTTTCACGATTTTTATATACTGGCACTTATACAAGTTTTGCTAATAGGTGCTTGCAGCATTCTTGACCTATTTACTCTTGATATGGGATGAACCAAACCAGTCCGCTGCTGCTGGACCACTGGCATGCAGTCCAAAAAATCTTAGTACCCATGTCCAGTAACTCAAAGCCTACTGTACCTTTGAAGGACAATTCCTAACGGTTTCCGGTGTAATTACTGTTTTTTGCGACTTACACACAATACAAGATAATGGAAGCAGTCAAACTTTAAAACATTCAACCATGTTGTGAAAATGTATCTGATGTGTGAGTCCAGATTGCAGGTGGTGGTACGTAAAAAGGAAGCTGTATATAACAAATGGAACTATCGTTTTCCCTATCTGCACTTTATTCAGCTGCGCTTTTGCGGTTGTTTTAACCGCGTCGAGAACGGATAAACTGACGACCGTATTATATGACACATGGCAGTTGTTCAAATGTTTGTATGGGTAACTGCTGCACAAGTACAGTCGAATTCAATGGAATACGAAAACGTAAAACTGTCGCTCCGAATACGGATCACCTGAGAATAATACAAAAGCAGCAGAAAACCTGCAAAAGTAAACTTTTGTGGCAGATCAAAAACACGGTCACCTCATACAGCATCCACCGTGCCTCCGATACAATGATTTCGCTAACACAAATACTTAACTTAATGCTCTATATTCGGCATTTTTGATTATAAGTACTTTGTCCTCTTTCTGGCCACTGTGCTGGCAACTATGCCAAACGACCCTGTCGACGCGGCGGTTACCGAGAACGATGCGCCTTGTGCGATACTGCAACGGATTTTTTCCTTCTGGCTGATAGTACTCCGTTCTTCAGTATACGTTTCTTTGGGAAGACACCGAAGACACTGCACACTAACCTCGAAAGATGTTGCGATATTCATTCTTAGTACTTGCGCCGTAATTTCCCTCCTGGCCACATTATGCTTCTGTGTGTTGAAGATATCGTTAATCGTTAACAAACCTTCTCCCCAACAGCCCAGCGAAGTTCTTATAACCGCATGGAGTGTCTTACCCGGATTTTGGATACCCCTAACATCGTTTGGTATTTGCCTCGCTTTCCGACATATCGGATCTGTTCTGGTTGACCATCAAGTTCTCGCGAGCCGATATCTTACTCGCACTGACCGAAAACCGTTGGTCATCTGCGCATTATCATTGTTAGCGTACTACTTGTGGACGGTTCTGCAGCTGGGTTACGGCGTCCGTCAAGAATGTCGCAGTACAATTTATATCGAAGACAGTCCAATTTTTCATGCGGCCAACTTGTCCTTACCTACGGTACATGCATTTAGCTGTGTCGTTTTCGTGTTCGCGTGTTGGAATGATTGCAGTTTTGTACTAACTGAAGCCTTGATAATCCTACTGGCATTTGCGACAGGGTTGTGTTTAAAAAATCTGCGCAGCGGCTACTCCCTTTGCCAAGAAAGTAAAGAGAAAGAAACCACTTTTAATGACTTTATTAAACTGCGCCTGATTATTAAGCGAGTGCAAGAAGACACATCCTTATTTTGGCTGATCGTGTACGTTAACGGCGTTGTGTGGGCGTTGTTTGCTGTAGCCAATGCGCGTGACCCTACTCCCGACAGAAGCGTCATGGAAATGAACATGTACGCCGGTGGATTGGTTGTGTTGCTGACTGGTCGGACAGGTGTCTTCGTATGGATGGCTGACAAGGTGATTCTGTAAACTTATCAAGTGACTATTAGCAGTTATTTCCATTAACTGAAGCGCGGTGTTTTGCGATATCCAGGCGTCGGGATTCATCGACGAACTCGCTTCCGAAGCGATTTTCTTCAAACAGTGTATACCTGTGGAACTCGGTTTCATTCGTGCATCGCTATTGCGCAGGCGGCATATGGGGTTTACTCTGGGTGGATTCGTAAATATTGACCGCAAATTTGTTATTACCGTGAGTTTCTTTAGCGTGCAAGCTGCAAATCACAGATAAAATATTCTATAATAAAAGTAAGTAATGTACTGCACTTTTTGCAGCTAATGGGAGTATTTCTCACTTACATGGTTTTGTTATGGGAGGAGCCCGAATCGACCTCTGGCCAGCTTACCGAAGTTTCGTGCCGAGGAAGCAACAGCAGTATCAGTGGGCCAAAATGAACGAACGAGATTTTTATTCTAATTATGGCAGTTGCCAGTTACTGTATTATGACCTGCAAAACGGCCCTTAAAAATCAATGTTTTACGTGGCCATGGAATTTTTAGTATTTCGAGTCGATGCTGTCGTCGGCATCTACCGCATGGTACAATGTACGACAAAAAGAGGTTGAACCGATCAGTCGGTCCGCGGTTCAAAATAACCTCGCAAGCGTCCAAGTTTTAGTGGTGGCGTGTCGTTGCGAGGTTATTTTGAACCGCGGACCGACTGATCGGTTCAACCTCTTTTTGTCGTACATTGTACACTGAACTTTTATTTCATAAATGTGACAGTCAGTGCATGCCTTATGAATCGTGTTATGAATATAAAATATTCCATATTGAGAATATAATATAGAATATCCCATATACAGAGTACCATTGGCATTAACACAAAGAATCGATATCAACATGCAAGTGACTGCATGTACCCACTGCCCGTATACACAAAACACGCTCGTAACGGCAAAAGTAAATTATTTGAATTATAAAACTATTTCATCATGATTGAGCTACAGTTGGGCGACTTAACATCGTCCAGACCAAGTTTTCGTCAATGCACGGGACGGTAGCGCAGATATCAGGCCGAAATGCACATCAACAGGACAACAGCTATGTCGCATTCCACTCAGAAATTTCTTTTACAAAAAAAAACAAAATGAGCAATAAAAATCTTTGAAAACAATAATCCAGACTGTCCTAAAATCACGCTGTGGCAGACTGCTTTACAGACCCCGATGGTTGGAAAGTAATTATAATCTCTGGCGGCGGTGAGTAGTTCCTGTGGCCGCCGGTGGCCGGCACCTGATACGTCAGAAACCCATGGCCGCGTAGCTGCTCTGCGGACCATCGCTTTGTAATGTCCCTTTTAAAGCACTGCTCCAGAAACTCCACAGCCACGCTATCCAGATCCTCGGGAATGTGCGGCCGTCCACCACTTCCCACGAAGAACATGATGGGCATCGGCTCCGACAATGGCGAAACACTACCGTCGCGCTGTTGTTTCTGGTATCTTGGTGTACGACCGGTCAGCAGTTCCAGCGCGACGCAACCGAAACTCCACACATCGGATGGCTGCCCGATAACGGCCACATCGTCACCCCGGATCATTTCCGGGGACATGTACATGACGGTTCCAATATTGGCTACGAAGGCATTATCTTCAGGGCCGCTGAAAGACCGCTCCAGGGATGCCATTTCTCCAAAGTCCCCGATTTTTACCAGACCGTCGGAAGTGAGGAAAACGTTCTCGCCTTTCAAATCCAGATGGTAGATTTTCTGTGCGTGGAGATACTGCAGACCGTCTAACAGCTGGGTGAGATAACCCTGTGTCTGGCTCAGTGAAAGGCGAGTTTTTGCGGCACTTTTCAACGACCCTCCTGCAACAAAAATTTATGCTTTTCCAAATTTTCCACGATATAAATAGTTTTTTTTTTCAAATTCACACTGTCGATTTAGGGGTTTCGTTCTCGCTTCGTTATCGTTTTAGCAGTTATCGTTTCATTATCGTTTCTGTCGCACTTGATGGACATTTAGTCAACACATAATTTTTTATCACCTTTTGTTAATTTCCCAAATACATATTTCCTACTTAAGACATTACTTTAATATCAGAACTACGACTGATACGCAACTGAATAACTGAATTCAGAACTGGTACAGACTCTGTACTTCGCGCGATCGAATTCAAATTTTAAAAATATTTAACTGGATGTATTCTTTGAAAAGAAAAGACCGGTACGTACAAGAACCGATACATACCGTCGCACAATTCCATTAATAGCAAAATAATCCGATCATCCGCCTTGACATCCATATCGTAATACTTCAGAATATTCTGATGGTTCAGCCTGGAGACCACTTTAAACTCTTTATACACACTCTCCACTTCCTGGTCATGGTCATCGTGAGCCGCCACCTCGATCCGTTTGACAGCAATCGGTTGCCCGTTGTCTTTCCTAGTGGCTCGGTAGACTTTACTGCGTCCAGCGCCCAGGCAGTTCTGTTCATCAAAACTACACGAATACGTCAGTTTGGGAGGTGGACCGGATGGCAAAGATTTGCGCCGTAGTGACGGTTCCTTCTCGATAGCGCAGGGGATAGTTGGCGGGCGGAAGGTCAATGCGGACTCGAGTTCTTCCACCTGCAGATGCGAGTCCAGCGCCCCAGCCTGAGGGAAGGACATTTGGAAATTGAAGGGCGTCAGAGCCGGCTGGAAGTTCATGAGCAGACCACGCGGAGCCGCCGCTACAGATGGCATACTGGGGATTCCATCCGGCTGCAATCTAAGTGACTCTTCCGCAGAAGAGGGAGTGGAATCTCGAATTCCGTCTTCCCGGAGCTGAACCCGTTCCGGAGAGTACTCGGCAGAAGAAGGAGTCCGTTCCAGAGAGTGTCTAACCATTCTAGGCATTCCCCCTCCAACCTGGTATGACGGTCCTTCTTCTTTTGCTCTAATCGAGGTTCCGTGTAAAGGCCGAATATCGGAAGGTTCAACATCATAAAAATCCTCGTCGTCTATTTCCTGCTGCCGCACCTGTCATACAGAGTTAAATTTGTCAACAATGTAAATCGCCACAATTGAAAAGATTTACGGGAATGTTTTACCCCGTTTTCTGTGCCTTACGACAGTTGTCAATAATTTATTCTCATTATTGCTTGCTCATCTTTTTATATTCTGTAGTAACCTGTTACCAGTATTTTGACCAACTGTATTAGTACTGATTTTTCCGATCCCCAATATAAGTAAACCGATTAACATGGTGAGCTTCGACATATTTACCGGTGACTTGGTATCTCGCCGTTGTCTGCTCCGCATTGTTTTGGCACCTTTAACCGGCAGAAACTTTCTGACATCAAAAACTGGTTTACTTCGCACTGCAGCGGATGGCGTCGGGGAAGTTGATGGTGTTTGATCAACAAGCAGCCAGTCATCGTCAACCGCTCGCTCCAGCAAACCTTCGCCGCCTTCAAAACTGCTAGCTCCTGTGAAAGTGACCATTTAACATTAAACTGCAATTTTAAGTGTTGAAGACTTGTGTTTAACAAACGTATAAGCTGAAGTAAATATACCAACCCAATCTACATACTAATCTACAACTTAAAGTGCATTCAACGGCAAATTTAGATAAAAATCGACTACATATTTATTCAGGCAAATAGATACCTGTTGAATATTTCAAAGTGTCGAGATACTGCCGCCATCTGGGTAAATCACGTCCTTTCGCGGTTAATTTCAAAGTACGCCATGCAGTTGTGAGGATAATGCGCAATTTAAGCGGTGATCCGTTGGTATAAGCATGCATTTTCTTTATTATCATCTTCAGCTCGGTTGGAATTTCCTTTTCGTTGCATTTAAAAACCGAGCAAAAAAATGCAATAGACTCGTCCACGTTGAAACCTTCCGGGACGCTGACAGCTTCCACGTGCGTTTTCAGCTTTTTCGCCAAATCGGTGTCTCTCGTGGTAACTATAACGCACTAAGGAAAAAGCAGAAGTAAGGTATTGTATACAGTAATTTAAGCAACAGGAATTTAGTATACTTCTAGAGGAATTTAGGCAATTTAGGTTAGTACCAAGATAGGTATCTTGGTAGTATAACAGACTTGCATGACCATGCGACTCATGCTAGAACTACGAACAAATATTTACATAATATTGATTAACCAGCAGAGACCACAACAATAATCACCCGATACTGGTTTGTATTTAAATTCAGAATATTTATATTAACGAACTTGCTAAAATACCTACGTTATAAACTTTAAAAAATTTTGTGGCGCAGTGAAGTTGTTCAGACTTCAGAGGTCGTAAATTTGATTCAGTCACCTTTGCTACATGGACAACACGCGAAAGCTATGAACCGGAAGTCGTGAAACGAGCAGGAAATGTAATTCGAAAAGTATTTCCCATTCTAACCAAATAATAAAATAGATTGCTCTAGGTACAAAGTGGTACAAGCCCTTATTACCTACTCTAAAACCTTTCTGTTTAGCGATATATGCATTGCTCAGCTGATTAAATAAATCGTAAAGCTAAAACAGTACTTAGTTCTGTAACGATAAATCTTCCCTCCTCGTTAACACTGCAGCGATAATATCGCACGTCATTTTTATTACCTTCATCAAAATGCACTATTTTCTTGAATTATAGCTCCCACAGTAACTAATAAAACAAGTGCATGGGCATCAATAATTTATGCATGATTTACACTAATTTATGTAGTTGTACTGTACAATCATTTAACCAAACTGACATTAATCTGCGCCCAATGCGATAACATCCAACCACTACAAAAATTTTATTGGAGCGCGATAGAAGTATGTACGTTTAAATAAAATTTTGTAAATTAACAGCCTCGAAAGAGTATTTTAGTTATCAACTTTATAAAACGTCACCCGATATCGTTGAAGTACAGTTGCAAATGTGACTTTACTAATGGTAAGTTTACTTGTACATATCGTATTTAGCGCTCGACATACGTACTTTGTAAAATGTACTCAGCAACTCCGCCTGTTTCGACGCCTCTTTGTTCCACTGGAACACATTATCCAGAACCAAGAGATTGCATGCCAGCGGCGATGCGGGTGTCCTCCTGTTCTGCGCAGCGATTCTCTTTAGTTCTTCTTCAATATTGGAGTCTTCGTCGAATTTCTCCGCCGTAATGTGATCCAGACGCCCCGCATCCTCCACCTGTATGGTCCGCAGTACATTGGCCAGCACCGCCGTCTTCCCACAACTGCCTTCCCCGGAAATAACCACCCACGTTCCCCCAGCCGCCGACAATGTGGAGGCCTTCCTGATTTTCAGCGCCTTGGATACTAAATGCGTAGCATGGTTTACCAGTGCAATGCGGGGAACGTAATTCGGTGGCAGGGGAAAATCGGCCGCCTGCCCCGACAGCGCCCGAATCAAATGCGGACGAACCATCCCGTCAAACGCGGCAATAATATCCTTAAATAATTCAGTGTGGCTGCGCTCTAATAACGCATTTAAATATCGGTTGAAAAAATGCACGGAATGCTCGCAGAATTCCTTCGTCTTTCCCGTGGCGATGGTGTGGGTGATGAAATGATCCAGACTAGACAGCGCTAGGCGAATGTACGGTGTCTTGGACAGTTTCTCCAGATTCTGTACATCGATGCATAATGTCTGCTCCTTCTCGCAGTCCTGACTCTGCAGCACGGACTCAATCACAATGGTCAGATCGAAACGGTCGGACATCTTTTTGTACAGACTGCAGGGTAGTTTGCGGAGAGACTGGATGGGCAGCGCCGTGGACCAGTGCAACGCTTCATGGTGCGCCATTTCGGATAAAGAGGCAGTGCGCGGGAGAGTGCAGCGTCGGGACATGTATAAACACGTGCCGAGTCTCAAGATGGGGGCAGACTGGCGAGGACTTTATTGTGCAATCACTGCCTCCCAGGTGGATCTAATCAGCAACACAGAAACAGTAGCTACAGCTGCTACACATCATTTGACGGCAACGGTAGGAAATCGCAGATTAGAATTCATTCAGTATTTGTTATCGTTTTCCCTCATCCTGGTGCTTTCTTATCAATTATCAAAGACAAGGACAAGAATCAAAATACATGGTGTTCGATTCAGTTTGAAGACAACCTGTCTCCGAAAACTGAAACATAAGAAACGAAGATAAAAATTATGGTGTAACGCGACTGTGGTTGCGGTGAAATGGAAGACTGTAAAAATCATGCAGATATCGTGATTCGTGAGATATGAGACACACGCAGTACCACAGCGTGGGTTTAGGCAACATGCATGCATACGCGTATTCGTATAGCATATTGTACGTCTTCTAACGCTGATGATCTTATTACCGCTCATTAGTCAGCAAAAGCTGTAAATACCGGTTTCAAAGTCCAGTACTAATGCTGAAACAAAATCATAATTCTACAGAGTATCATGTGTACCTGCATACGTAACGCGAACGCGTGATGCAACTGATCTACTATTTCATTTCCGACGCATTTAGCAAATTTCCGCAATATAGGTATAGTAATTACGATATCTGTAGTTGTCTATCTATTCACGTTTGACAAAAAAATCTTTGGGAATGGCATTAACGATACATACAAGTTACGAGTTAAATATGTTTGTACAGCTATCTATGCACATAGACATGCATGCACATGCCCTATGTACAAAAATTACATACCTCAGCATACAATTATTAATACAGCATTAATTTTTTTGTTTCAGACAGCCCTTGCTCGACGGCGAATTATCACTATTGGTAGATAAATAGCAAGTTGTGAATGCGCCTTTGCATGTAAATTAAGGCCTCGATCATTGCTTCACCAGCGAACACAGGGACATGCTTTCGCCGGGCTTCCGATTCAGACAACAAATTAGCTGTCAGAACTTTGCCCACTATAGAATTAGCGCAAATAAATGTTTCATTAGGACATCAACGGTGGGTTTCTGGATTACCCAATTTATCAGGGCAGAAAAAGAAGAGGGAGGAAAAAAGCGGGAGAAATAAAGAGGTCAGGCTATTCCTTTATTGGGGAAAGTGCGCACAACGCGACACCGGTTCCTTTTCAAAGAACTATTGAACTACAGACATTTATTCGCATGCACGGGTCCACTTAGCTGCCGCCTGCATGCAGTAACAAAGACTGTTACTGCAACAGAAACTGGTGAGTTAGCAGCTCCGCGGCGGATGGGCGGAGTGCATAGTCTCGTTTAAAGCAGTACTGCACGAAATCCGATGCAAGCACGTCCAGACTCTCGGGAATGTATGGCCTGCTCCCGGGTGTGGCGGCAATGTAGTACCAGATTGCTTCTTGTAGTTGTAACTCAATTATTTCTCCACCTGGACATGTTTTTCTGTAGGAAGGAGCGTGTTGCGTTAGCAGTTCCAAAGCAATGCATCCGAAACTCCAAATATCAGACGGTCGGCCGATCTCTGACAAAGAAGTCCCATTTTGGCAGATCATTTCCGGTGACATGTAGTGACCCGTACCACGCATGTCACCATCAAACAGCAAACAATCAGAGGAGTCTGGAGAAAAAACTTCACCGAAATCTCCGATTTTTATGTGGTCATCTTTGGCAAGAAATATGTTCTCGGTCTTTAAGTCCAAATGAAAAATTCGTCGCTGATGCAGATAATTGACGCCATCAAGAATTTGCATCAGGTAAGACTTGACCTTTGGAAGTGACGATCCGCGCTCAATGACTTTTTTCAGACAACCCCCTAGAGCAATTGTATTTGTAAAGTTATTTCGATACAATCATTGGCATTTGAAATTATAGCAGTTCGACAAATTTACCGTTACAGTGCTCCATGAAAAGCAGGATTTGACGATCGACTAACTGCACCGCTAAGTCGTAGTAACGAAGAATACTTCCATGATTCAGATTCGCTACAATATTGAATTCGATCTGCACTTTCTTGACTGCGACATCAATGGCTCTCTGTTCTTGATTGCTCCACACGGTTTTCTTAATTGCCACCGGACACTTTCTTTCAACACAGTGTCCAGTGTAAATGCTACTCCTTCCATATGGAACTTTCAGGCGATACTTCTCCGTTAAACTGTATCGAAAAGTGCCGTGCGTGTGCAGCTCAACCATTTGTGGAGCTATGTGATCCCATCTCTTTGTAGACCTCTTTTGTGTAGGTTTCGTCGGCGGAAATAATTTTCCCCGAGTTATTAAATTGCCGAAAATATCACGCGAGGGTTTTTTTGTGGAAGATTCCAGCTGAATGCGCTTAGGCGTGCGTGAGAAGTTGACGCCGGTAGTACACACTGCTCCATGATATTCCAGCGGAAATTCTGCCGCTTGAAATTGCGCTGTCGGTTGCATTTCTATCACGTCGTACTCGGCTTCCGATTCCGAATCTGACCGCGGAGATGAGCTAGTAGTCGGGGTAGGCGTTGGCAAAAGCGCCCAACCGCTGTCGTCCTGATCGATGGAAGTGCCACGCTCCCTTGTTGAAGACACTAGAGAAAAAGGTCATATTTGGTTCCAAATTTTGTTTCCGAACGATAGAAGTTGTCCAAAAGGCTGATGCTGGTTTAAGGATCACGACCACTTCTTCTACTAAGCGGTATGATAAGTGTTCGCGTTGTTGCAAAACTTGCTACTTGGTATAGTTGGTGGACACGATACCGAAATACAAAATTAATCATATACTTTACACATACCGGTTATGATACGATACCAAAGTACTAACCGCTTGGGTTCTTGAGGTTTTGAAAGAACTGACGCCATCTCCCAAAATCCTGCGGTTGGCATGACAAATTATGTGTTTTGCGTGCCATGGTGTAAATAATTCTTTGGCGCAGTGGGCATCCTTGGCAGTATTCGTGGATCTGATTTATTGTGTTTAGAAGCGGTATCGGCAGTTCTTCGCTTTTACAATCAAACATCGAGCAGAAAAATGCTGTGGATTCTGCGATGGTAAAGCCACTCCCGATATCAGCGGCACTGTATTTGCAACGCTGAGACTTGGGCTCGCACTTCCATGCTCTTGTCGTAATGATGATGCACTAAAAAGAAAAGGTTGCGTAAAGCGCAATAAAGGCATGAATTTATAGAGCAAAACAGCAGGTCACTCTAACCTTGTAAAACTGTGCTAGCGAATCCATGTGTTTTACTGCGACTGCACTGGCATCCATAAGATTGTCCAAAACCAGCAAATGGGATTCGATCCGCGAAAGTTTTTGCCTTTTAGCGTCGGCCAAGGTGTCGTCCATTAAACCATCGACATCTTCATCTTCGCCAAACTTTACTGCGGTGATAGAAGCAAATATCTCCCGAAGTTGAATGTCCCTAAGGACATTCGCCAATACCGCTGTTTTACCGCATCGGGAATTCCCAGCAATGACTATACATTGGGTGCAACCACTCTGAAATAAACGGCTAGGAAGTTTTTGTCGCATGGCGGCTTGCACTTCTCGCAGCACGCTAATCCTGGGAATATAATTCGCGGGAAGCGGGAAGTTTATCGTTTCTCCAAATATTCCTTGAATAGATGGCTCGTACATTCGGTCAAAGACATCTCTGATTTTTTTATAAGTTTTCGCCTGGTTTTTATTGAGCAAATGTACGTAGTATCTCTCCAGGAAGAAATGGTCGTGTTGACAAAACTGTTTGCTGCACTGGTTCACGATGTGATCCAATAGCGATAGCGGAGCCCTAGCGTTGTCCGAATTTTCAGCTAACAATAAGCTGTGGGTAATCAACCGCTCTATCCGAGTTAAATCCGATAGAAGCTTTTTTTCCTCCGCACAGTCTTTGTGGTTCTGAAGGATGGACTTGACTGCGCCGTCAAAAAAATCAGCGTGGCAGATACTGCGGTATAATGACAAGGGCAGCCTTTTTAAGCAGTAAATGGGCAAAATTGCGCTCCAGTGTGCAGCTTCCGGCTCCATATCTGCTGTGTTCCACGTTTAGAAATTAAGGGTCACACAATTGTTTATGTCGCAAATGCAGTTGCACACTCCAAAATTTTTTTTGCACACTCCTGCAAGTTGCACACTCTAAAAATTTCCTCAGATATTGCTGCGAGCAACAGCAACAGCGAGTGAGATACAGCAAAAAGGTTTCAACAATATCATACGCATTTGTGCATCCCGAACTAGGGCAAATTGAGCAATAATCAGCGGCAAGATAATTTTGAGTACTGTATCTGTTACTATCTAACCACATTACCTCATATCTGCTGTTGATTTATAAATTTTATTGGTTTATCTCATGTCGGTGTTTATAACAAGTGTAGATTACAGAGCTCACGCTGCTTTATTAAATTTAAATAGACCAAGTTCAAATACTGCGGCATGAACGTATTCACAATTACTGAATGAATTTGGACTCCCTTATAAATAATTATTATAATCATTTTATCATCACTGTGCGCGAACAATAAAACAATAAAAATTCGACCGCATTTGCCATCGTACAAAATGCACCCAAATGTAAATTAGACTTGAGACATTTTTTGCCACCTACCGGCATGTAATAAGCTTTTGGTTGTATAAAGCTCCTAAGCGCAATTAGAAGAATACTGGCGTAATAAGTACGTATAGATTGTTTTGCGCTAATAATTATTGATACAATCTATTTCATCGGACTTTGCGTAGTATTTTTGCATATCAGTTTTGTGGGGCTTATTGAACAACATCTTCAACTCGGTCTAAAAAAACATCGGCTACAGGATCATACTCATAGCAGTTGTAACGCTTTGCATTTACTATGCAGCTATTCCAATATCGGGACAAACAGGAATGGAAGGAGATTCGATTATCTTCACATGAAAATTAATCACATGATCGGCACTGAAACATTCGTTAATCAATTAAATTATGGATCAATGGCGATATTCCGCAACGGTAATCAAGATGACAAATGCGAAGGAAAACAGGGCAGCTGCACGCAGTGCAAATTATAGTGGTCAGTGAACAAAAGTCGGGACTTCCGGTCGGAGTTGTAATGTTGTAATGTATCCTTTATTTGTTGGCGCTGGTGTACTTGGTGACCGCCTTGGTTCCTTCCGACACGGCATGCTTAGCCAGTTCTCCCGGCAAGAGTAGACGCACCGCCGTCTGGATTTCCCGGGATGTGATGGTCGATTTCTTGTTGTACTGCGACAGACGCGAGGCTTCCGCCGCGATGCGTTCGAAAATATCGTTGACGAAGGAATTCATGATAGCCATGGCTTTAGAGGAAACTCCTGTGTCCGGATGTACCTTTGGCAAACAAGTATCAGTTTTAATCACATTAACATTACATGGTGATCTGTTTCCTGCCTAACAAACAACCCAAGAGTAGACGTGGCGGTCTGATACATACCAACGGGCTTCACTATTAATTTACAACTAAAATTGTTTTATAAAATTTATTCTGCATCCAGATATTATAGCTAGAACTGTATGCGGCAAATAATAATTAGTAACTTTCCTGTCACTTTTTCAACGTACCTGCTTAAGCACTTTGTAGATATAAACGGAGTAGGATTCCTTCCTGTAAATCGAAGCATTTCGGGCTTGGGCATTTCAATGTGTAATTCATAATCGTACAATTTATAAGGAAAAGTTAACCTAATAAGAAATACTATCTAACTTTTGCTTGTATAATATCTTATTAATTGTTGTAAAGCATTACGAGCACAATATACCATTTTTGGGATGCGAAATTCGGTTTGAAAAAAACTGTGCGAAACGTGTTACAGTACTTCCGGATATCAATCCTGTACAGTGTACACCTCATAAACAAGACCTTACCTCTTCTTTTTCTTCTTGGCATCCGGAGCTCGGATGGCTTTCTGCGCTTTCCCGGATTTCTTCATCGCTTTACCTGGGGCTTTCGGCGGCATTTTCCTTATCTACGGAAGTATCTTCTGGAAATCGAAAGAGTTTTATTATGTAAAAGCTGGAAAAACCTTGATGATCCTTTCGAGACCAGTTCTATCCGTGATGTCATAGGCCGCTGAGATAGAGCCACAAGCCCACTAGTCACGGCATGTGAAAACATGTTGGCTTGCGCTGCCTTTCACGGACGGCGTGCGCAAGGATGATTCATGTTGCGGTACAAAATTTTACGGTACGGTAGCACAGCTTGGCCGTACGTACCTACGTAGTGGCCAGGTGCTTATGGCGGGCACCCGCCTTGGCGGGTGCAATAAGGCGGGTACTGTATCAATATCAGTGGCGGGCACTGCCGAATTGCACATTGCACCGAGGCACCAATTGCACTGCACTTGCCTAATCGGTAGTGCACTTCTGCTTTTGTGTATTTGCCTTTTTGTTTTTCGTGGCTGAACTCGTTTTTTTACAACTGTAAGTCAAAGAAACGAACGGTTTGTAGTCTTTTTGTTTGTTTTGACTGTTATGCAAGTAGGCAACAGGTTCAATCATGCGACCAACTGAAAACAGAAGATGTAACGCTATATACGTGGATCGCTTTGACACCTTCAGGATTTCGAACAAGTTTTTTTAAAGTTTAATACAAAAACCAACGCATCCTGACACCATCCCCTTTTTTCAAGCAGATGTTTATGGTTATCTACTCCAAAGTACCACACAAGCTAAAATAACAGTTGTAAGAAAATTAACGGCAAGAATATTGAATATCAAGTAACGTAGATCAGAAAAAGGTGTCCAAATATAAAAATAACAGTAGACCCGCAAATTAGCCGCAAAACGTACAGAACGATATTGTCAGTGTTGGCAATTTAGCAGGTATAATGCATTTAAATGCTCAAGACACCGTTGACCGTATTCTCAAAGAGTCTCGTGCATACCCTGATGCCGGGAAATGAAGCAACTATAACTCTAATAATTATGATATTTTATTGCTAATGAAAAATTTTACGGTAAGTCTGCTAGCCGTATCGTTAAAATTTGTGGGACAGTCAGGTTACCAGTCATAGACCAACAAACAGAAAACAAAATTCGGTTTACTAACTGTTTACATATATATAAACCGTTATTGCTTTAGATAAAAAGTCCCATACAATCTGATTTTAATCGCATAATGGTTTTCAACAATAAATAAAAGGAGGTTTCAACCTGTATTACACTACATAGAAATATTGAGCAAAACGCGATTCATCTAACTCTTTTATTTTTACTGCTGCAGTTTTTCAAATTTTCCTATTAGTTAAGGTTGCAGCCTAAGTGTTTTTACCTTTATTCACTTTATCACAGAACATTCTCCCACCTGTTTTGATCTTCACGTTTAAGAAAAAAATTGGAAAGGCCTATTTGGTATGCATTCTTTGTTAAAAAACTGCGGTTACCAGATTTAGGCTGTGGCCTAAGTTGCTTGCCTAAATCCAGCGTTTCCCGGAACGCTCCTTTGAATTTAGGTTGCAGCCTATTTTGTTGCAGTATACAGGATTTTCTCTGACGTCAAAAAATGCTGTTACTTTTAGCTTCCGCAAGTAAACAATTCAGTTTGAAACCATTTTAGGGCTGAAGCAAAATTAATTTTGCGTTTCAGAGTGCCTCTTTTTCGGTTTAGTTCTGGTCGAAAATTGTTGAAAAAAAGCAGCTGTGATCGCTTCGATTTTTGAAATATCAGTAAAATAATCTTTTTATTTTTGAGCGATCAAAGCTTGGAAGCCCGTGCTTAACAAATAGTATCATTTACTATTTTTTCTTTTAGCATCTTACAGCAACTTATAAAAACAGCCTTATAATTGGCTCTGTAATGCGCTAACGTTAGACAGTTAAATAAAAACAAAACTGATAACATATGCATAATTTGGTTCGCTGTAAAATATTCAAGTTTTTTTCATTGCCTAAATGCTACGAAATAGCTTCGCTGTAAACTCTGGACAGTTACAATTGAAATAAATTTAACCTGGAGTCGCTCCTATCCATAAGCTTAAAAATATTGGTGCGTGTCAGGTAAAGTTGCTCTCTCTTTTTTGAATGCAGAATGTTAGTTTATTTAGTAGCATTGAACTGCTTGTCCTAATTTCATAGCTGTCGTCGCCTCTACGCATTCCCTTTATAAGCAAAATATATAAAATAACATATATATATATATATATATATATATATATATATATATATATATATATATATATATATATATATATATATCGATATATATCATAAACAAAATAAAATATATATTTTGCGTCTGTGCCTTTTACCTTTGTATCTTTGTATTAAAGAAACCAATTCTCTTTAGTGGTTTAAGAAAATACCTGGCAAGTTAAGTGAGTCCTGGAAACCAGTAAAATAAGTCCGCTAATAAATTAACGGGACACTGGGACATTTATCCTGCATTACGCATCTTTGTATTATAACTAAGCAGCCCAACAAATCAATTTAGAAAGATCTGCGTAAGTCTTTTTTGTAGACAAGAGATGGTTTTAAAGGTAAGTATCAATATTCATAAAGCGTGGAGTAGCGTAAGCAAGTATTGTATGACTCGCACTAGCAGCTTGGATGCGCAGCTAGTGGGAAAGTGCACTTTGCAAATGCATTTCTGCAATACCCGCCACCGACGCCCGCCTGATTGTTGACAACCGCCTTATCACACTCGCGAAGGCGGGTGCCCGCCATAAGCACCAGGCCGTACGTACCACGTAGTACTAGTACTCACGTCGAACGTTGAAGTCATGAACAATCATGGCATAAGAACCATTGTGGTGCACTTTGTTGCTGATGTACCAACAAAATGGCTTAATGTTTACAGTAGTGGTAGCATAGAAAGTAAAAGCCACACTTACACTTTTATTTTCTTTTTATTTTTTATTTCTTTTTATTTTTTTTCTTTTTATTTACACTTTTATTTTCTTTTTGCCACACCTACACTTTTATTTTCTATGGTGGTAGTATTAAGCACTCCAAATACCGTATCATTCTTACACCGATACGTATTACACTACTGTAATTACAGTGGAGCTGCTACTACGGACATGAGTACTTTCAGTATAGTATATAGAGTCAAAGCACTATTTAACGCACTCTCTACTGTGTAGTTGCCCAAATACCAACAGTGCCGCAATAATTTATTATTATCCTAGAAAATATTCGTGTTGAAATGTGCTCATACGATAAGCACATGTGCAGTTTTTGTATTGTCTGAGTTTAGACTACGATAGTACAACATTAAAGTATCACATGAGACTATTGAGTACCACTTTAGAAATTCAGATTGGCGGTACAAAACAATCGAAAATTTTTTGTACAAGTAAAAAATCTTTACTTTACGCAGTCTTAGCCGACATGGTATAGTGCAGCTGCTCTGTATGTGCTAGCAGAGTCCAGACGGATCGCGCAATAAATAATTTCCGAGTCTGGTTATATGCATACCTTTATACAGCACTGTCAGCCTTTCGTAAAAGCTGCCCTAGGGTAGATAATATAGTTTTCATATAAATCCTCTCATTTGATATTGTTCCATTAATCGTTAATAGTGTAAAAGGTCAACCTAGAAACATAGCGGGCAGTGGTCACGCCCAGCTATTTACGCACAATATTGTTCGTTGTATTAATTTTTTGATTTCCGTGATAATTATTAAGACTGCAGAATGTGTACAGTACTTACATTGTGGAATACGACTATACCAGTCAAATTATCAGTGAAATAGCATCCATTTCGTATGAACCCGGTTACTGAGACCTACTGACTTTGACATTAATCAATTAAAACTGAAATAAGGTATCATGATTTGCCATCGATTTTTGATTTTATCCATTTGCGCAAACCGTTTTAAGTTGTTAAGATTTGCGAGAGTCCTGCATCCGCGCATTACAGCCTGTATGGCTAATTCCGGTGGCAAAAGTAATCGTACGGCAGTTTGAATTTCCCGTGCTGTTATTGTCCGTTTTTTGTTATAATGCAAGATGCGTGACGCTTCTACGGCTATGCGCTGGAAAAAGTCATTGGCAAAACAGTTCATAATGTCCATGGCTTCGGAAGAGATCCCTGCCTCTGGGTGCCTCTACGGAAACTGAATTTACTTTCATACGATTGTAAATGTTTTGTTGGAAAAGTGCAGAACCAGCAATTCGATATTTTCGTACGAGACAACTGTTGTTCTTATACACTCGTTAAACCATACTGCATAAAATTGTCTTAAAAGGCACCTTACATACCTGTTTCAGCACCTTATAAATGTAGACCGAGTAAGACTCCTTCCTGCAAAATTAACAGATCTGAAATTTTGAATTTCGTAAATCTCGGACGTGCTAAATAAAGTACGACGGTCCAGCACTGCATGGAGTGCATGCATGCGTCTTGGTTGTTGGCTAACATAACGTATTAACGGTTATAAAGGATTCACTGTTTAAGTACGAGTACCTTTTCCTTCTCCTTCTTAGAACATGCGGGGATCCAACAGACTTCCCAACCTTCGGAAGTTTCCTCCGCTTTCTTGGTCTTGGCATTTTCAGTGGCATTGGCACTTATGCAGCGCAGTTTCAGCATATTCGTCAATAATCCATAAAGACTTGGAGATGTAGCAATATGCTTTACAAACACCGACAACAGCTGCACGGTCGCCTTTACTTCGATTCGTATCGCACCGGCATGTTTGCACGCTACAGATTCTATTTCGAATACATAGCACGAGTACCTACGTAGTCTTGCCGGTGCAGTTTATCAGCTACTGTGTAACAACAATAATATTTTATTGCGGAGCTTACAACGCGTAATCGATGCCTACGTACAAATACGCTTTAATCTGGGAATCACACTTGCCACAAAAACAGCCTACCAAAAAGCTGACACTTCGCAGACTAAAATTATTGAAAGAATGATACTAGTATTATTGACACGGCGATTTTCGAGTTACTGCACCAAACAACGACCGTACAAATATCATAAATCCGTAACCCCCATTACCCGCCTTAAGGTAACTTAACTCCAAACTGCACTCCACTGTGTGATATTCTGGAACGTAAGAATGTGCAACACAGTGAAAGGGATCCAACCGTGCTTGCTGCTGAAAACTCACCGGTAGAGACGCCGAAGGAAAATACATAAATTCTTAGGGATGATGGAATAAATAAAATACTTTCCCGAAAACTGCAAAAGTGTTTAAAGAGGTTTTTTTATTGCATCTCTGAATTCTGATGCATGTATTAAGAACTGCTGGTTAACCTGCAGAAAGATGCACAATTCTGTAGGTCAACCTGCACGTATTTATAGTAGAACCACGCAATGAAAGTTTGATTTAAGTGATCGTAAAATTTTTTATACGTAGTTCCAGCGTTTAGCAGTATGCATCGTTTACTTATTAAATATACAATAAAAATACATTTGTAGAAGGGTTGACCGCAGTTGAGTTGTAAACAAAATATACAAGCTTTTATGGCCGTCATTAAAACCATGTAAACGGACAACTATGCATCTGGGAAGACACTGGACAAGTCAATGGAACTTTACGTCATTTCCGGTTTCATCGACCGTCTGCATACGTACGGTTAAGTTTCTCATATTAGTTGAAAGGCCAACAGCGCTAGGTTGCACTATCAGCTGCCATAGCAAGCAGATAATATGGTTTTTGTGTGGTCTGCGCTGCGGAATGCAAAGCCGCTTGTTCAATCCTACCAAACGTCTGCAATTCCGTAGTTTCCGTTCCCACAGCCAGCGAAAATTACTTGCCCAGCTTTAACACTGCTGATAAAAAACTTGCGCAATAAGCGTTTGTGCCGTTGTTGCGGTACGTAATACAGGAAATTTGACGTGCGGCAAAAAGAATAACAACCAATTTTCGTCATATCTTTTGCATTGGAAGCTGTCTTCTACGCTGTAGACCTTCAACGACTTTTGTTGCCAGAAACGTGCAACCGAGAAGTGTATAAAAGCAGCATCCAGCGAGCCATGGCTAATCTGCAATACAGTTTCATTGGAAGGTAATTTGCCGTGACCTTTCTGGAACTTTCCCTTGAGCTGTATCTTGAATCCTTGATTCAGTTAGCTTGTCCGGTTAATAGTACAGTTCCATATTTAGAGAAAGGTCATTGTTCTTCAGTCCCTGACCATGGCACGGTGTGCGACAGTGGTACCGGCAGTTTGGTTGATCCTGGTCGCATCCAGTACATGGCACGTAGCAGAAAGCAACTTTCGGTTCCAAGGTAGTGATTCTACGGTATCCGATGGTGCAAAAGGATCGCGGGTGGTTCGCGCCGTAATGCAAAAGCTGGAGAGTGTTTGTAAGGTTTCACATCTTAATGTGTCTTTCTTGGGAATGCATGTTCCGCATTCACCGAAATCCATGTTTCGTAGGCATCTTCAAACGAGACAAACAAATGCTACGCACGATTGCCGTGGCAGCGTCCGATGACGGTGTGAAAGCTGGTACTTTCCGGCCAGGTTATTATGGAGGTATTTGGCAGGTAAGCCATAACAAGCTGTTTACAGAGTAGGTGCCTTTGAGCTAATCAATTAAAGCATCCTTGGATGTCACTAGTTGTTTCTGGTCTGTATTAAACACCAGTTTCGTCGCAGGTTGACGAGGCTTTGTTTTTGCGGACAAAAGATTATTCATTGAGTTATTTATGGAGTCGTTTCAACAGTGCCTTTAACATTGACTGGCAAACTGTACAATGGCAAGATTTAACCAAACCCTTGTATTCGGCTCTTGCGGCACGCCTGGTACTGGCGTCCGTTGCATACGAAAATGATAATAACATGTAAGCGATTCAATCAGAAAGTTGTGTACATAGAGTGTAGGTACCGCTAAAACAAAAAGTGACGATCTTCTCTCTGTAGAGAAAACGGTTTGCCCTGGGATCTACCCAACCAAGCATCTATTTGGATCAGCAGTTTCAATTTGCACCACGATGTCAACGCTTACCAAAATTATCATACCGCCGCCCAGAAACTGCGTGATACTTCCGGTACCGCACCTTTAAAATATCCACTTTGTATTGACGAGTGAATGTTGATGAATAAAGTATGGCTTTTAAAAGTTGCCGTGGCGTTCGTCTTCATTGGTTGTCTTTATTACTTGTCAACACATCCTCAACAGTAACGCCAATTATTGTACAATTTTTAGGTTGTAAATCCGTGGGTGCCGACATCGCCTTTATTATGGATGGATCTGCAAGTGTTGGCACTAGTGATTTTCAGCACAGCCTAAATTTCGTAACTGAGGTAAGTCTGGGGAATCTCAGAACCTACACTATTAAACGGATTGACTCCTTAAATTTAGGTACAATGAATTGTGTACCTGAGGTGGTTAATTAGGTTATCAGCCGGCTGAACATCGGACCGACGAGTAATCAAGTGTCGATGATCCAGTATTCTTCAACAGCCGTTGTCGAGCTCTATTTCAACACATTTGCAGCAAAGGACCAGGTTAGCTTAACTACAAAAATGTTAGGACGTTGCAACCGATTTTGCACAACCATTTATGCACAACTAATGTCAACTATGGACGCTTTTACAACGATGCGTGCAAGGGTAAAAGCAAATAATAGCCCCTCTTGCAGGTGCTACAAAAAATTGCATCCGGTATAGCATATCAAGGCGGTGGAACTGCCACAGAACAAGCGCTATGGCTGCTGGATCAGAACGTTTTTGCGCCATCTAACGGTGCTAGAGGGCAAAGTGCCATACCACAGTTCGGTAAGGGATACCATGTGTACAAGTACTATACATAATTTTAAATAATTGTTCTTTTTGTAAAAACTGTCGTATTTGATATCGGACGCACTATAAATTTAAGTATAATTGTTTCCAAGTAGTAATTTGAATTCGAATACTTCTTACTTCTTAAAATATATTATTGCGTTTTTGTCTAGCTTGACTATCGTAATTCTCTTCTTTATTAACGCACACAGCTGTTTTGTTCACGGATGGCCACGCCAACGATCCAATGGCCGCACAAGTCCAGGCAGCCCAGATTCACGCCAAGAATATAACCTTATTATCAGTCGGTATTGGAGGCATTAACGAGCTGGAGCTGAACGCTTACGCGTCTCAACTAAGTATAGAAATTGTGTTTGTCTTTAAATATTATAAATGGCATATCCGGGGCGTAACAGATGATTGTAGTGATTGTAGTGATGATTGTAGCATAAGCGCCAATAGTGTAAAATAACCGAACAGTCAAAAAGCACTTACTCAGTAGGTGTACAGTTCAATATTATTCTACTGCAATGGGAGCCGTGGTACCGAAAACGTTAATTATTTTGTCTATGGCTGTGGGTTGCTCTACGAATAAATACGAAAATGCTTTCTAGAATGCAAAAACACTTACCATCTCCAGGGTTTCTCAGATATGGCACAAATGTTTGCTTTCGAACTGGAACAACGTAGCTGCACAGGTACCGTAATCAGCTTTATTTTTTTGTATTTCTAGCAAATTTAGTCCTATGACCTTTACACAGACCACGGTAATGTTGTCCCCCTACCCGAAGACCCAGAAACCGGCCAGTTACCACCACCAGTCATGATCGTTCTGCAACCAAATCAGGAACAGTACATTTGTTTCCTGGTCCATGTATCACTGGGTGCAACGCTTATTATAAATGGAACTTCCGGTACTCTGACCATGTACTTCTCGTTCTCAGTGTCGCAACCCATCGAGGAAAACTACGACAAGAAAATTACAGTTACAGCTGGACATGTTGTAAGTGACTTGCTGCTAGGCTGCTGCTTAAAGCCAATTAGCATCGCTTTGAAGGTCACAAGTCCTTAGCAGAAAACTAATGCAACAAAAATTCTGCGTAGGAAACGCTTTATTTGACCCCGAGCATTATTAAAGCGTACGTCGGCGACATTGTCCAGGAAACACAGATCTGCATAACACTGGCAGCCGACAGCAGCAATCAAATCCCGACACCTTTCGTTTCCACCACGTTAGCACCAACGCCGGCAACGAATACCACGGTTTATGTACACATTGACCCGCCACCTCCCACTGAACCTTGGTGGATGACAACCGAACCAACCACTGAAGTTACCGAACAAACAACCACATCGCTGCCAACGGATAACGGGGCTAGTGGCACCGTGACAGTGGTGGAGGGATCAGTCGGATGTGGCGCAGCAGAGAGTAATATGCAGGATAATGACAAGCTGCTAATCACTTCGCCCCACTTTGACACTTTAACCAACCAACCAGCGGGATACCGGCAAGGTTTAAGTTGCGTCTGGCGAATCAATACTCCCGCCTGGACGACGCTGGAAATCACGGTCACCTACTTCCGCCTTCAGGAGAACCACAACGTGGAACCCGGAAGAACGTGCAATAGTCAGGATAGAGTTATAATCGCTGACACGGCTGGAGTGGTTTCTGGCGGATACTTATGCGGAAGTAGACTCACCGGCTTCGTGATTCCCGTAACCCGAACACTGAACCAGACTACCATTAGTTTTACCAGCATCAGCAATGCCAGCAGGGAGTTTGGGTTCAGTTTGACAGTGAGAGCCATCGGGCGGCATCGGCTGGACTGCAGCGCCAGCGAAATCAATGTTGAGATGCGAAAACTGTATCTGCCTGCCCAGACCCCGGTTGGGAATTATCGTCTATTAAATGACACCTGTAGAGCCTCGGAAACCGGCACCGCTCTGCTGATGCGCACCAGTTATGGCCAGTGTGGCACAATACGTTCTGTAGGCGCAAACAATTATGTTTTATTGTTTTAAATTACCCAAAGCATGAAGCCTTTTATTACATTAATTTTGGTTGCACATAGATTGATGATGAGAATGTTTATTTCGTCAATCAAGCCAGCGCTGCCGGCGGTCGGTTTTGCACCGGACCGATATGCGTGAACGCACCAGCGGTCGACATTCCTTTTCGCTGCAAGCTGGAACGCATGGTCAAGCCAGTGAGTGGCTCCGTTTCCTCCCATCATCCACGAAATGTCATTTCGAATCGCCCTTTCCTGGAAGGTATCATCGATGTTGGCGCTAGGTAAGTATTGTTCGACTGAAGTCATTACTTGCTTCTGATGCTTATTCTGCTTTTTATCTGGACAGCCTCGAGCTTGGCTACGATCTGAATTTCGATCAGCCATCGCAGTCAGCATTTCTGGATTTCGATTTTCAAAGCCAGAAAGTTTATTTTGAAGTCTCGGTCAAACGGCGCTTCGGCAGCAGCGTAGCGTTTATCGTGCAAGCTGATCAGTGCTGGACCACGCCCACATCGAACAAAAACGATCCTATACGATTCGATATTCTTCTTGACGGGTATTGGAAAAAGCATTAAAACTGTTGAATTTTCTGCAATACCTTGCTAAATTTTCTCTTATGGTCTGTAGGTGCCCGGTGGACACCCCCGGCTTTGACCTCCAGTTTAGGCGGCACTACACGGAGTCACGTCATAAAGATATTTTCAGTGTAAATGCCCTGCACTTCAACGAAACCAGTGACCTTTTGCATTTCCACTGCATTGTGCGAGTGTGCAGTGTTGGTGTGGATGAAGGGCTGTGTGATACAAGCTGTCAACGGCCTATCTCTGTCCCAGCCCCTCCAGAAGAGCCTGGACCTGAGATCCGTACCCGTACTTCACCTGTGGTGCTGAAAAAAGAAGCGGCCATGCAACGTACTGCGCAGCTGGGTTCTATCCAGTTCAGGCGGATGCAGCATAGAAACCAATCTCACTGAACCTCAATTAACTTCCGCTTGTTATCGCTCTATATCTAGGTAATGATCATTGCACATCGTATATTTGCTTTATTTCGTTTCCTTATATATTATCTATAATTATCTGCTTCTATGTCTAAAAACCACCGAGTAACTGGGGAAAAATTATCACTTTACTTTTTTCTCAGGGCCGGTACGTTATTTGTTAGCCAAGCAAGTGCCGGAGGTATGATGCTCCGTGTCTTTTGCATCATTAAAATTATATTCAAATATTAGATTAGTTTTCGTTCCAAAAGGTCAAAAGCTGCCATTTTTTCACAGTTGGCATCGAAAATGCACTCAGTGCAGTGCATAATACAGAAGACTGCACCCGTAATCCATACAAAGTAATTATTTTGAAGTAGGTACCGAGTATCGTACGTAATAAAATAATTCAAAACGAATCTACGTATGAACGATGGTACTGTGGTATAATTACAAAAAATGAGATTACGGCAAAATAATAAGACATGATGTTGACGCCGGTCGCGGGAGTGAACAAAAATATGGCAATATTCCCGTTCAATCGACGTAGCACCTATCCAGAGTAGTCATCGCCAGTTTTGTCAAGACATTTACATTCAGCTGACGAAGGTCCGTGTTATTCCAGTGATGAGCACTGCCATCAGGGAGAAAGCCGCTGCATCTGTAGTTTAAACAAACTGTAAGAATCACGAAGGAACGTATACATTTCGCTATTCGTAAGCATAGACTGATACGAAATCTAATGTACGTACATATTAAGGAGGTCACGAATTCCTAACCAACCCGCTGGATAATCCAGATGCTCCACCCAGCGTTTATGGATAGCTCTGATCTTGGCGACAACTTGCTGACCAATCGGTGGACAGTTATTATTGGCTGCAATAAAAAACCGCCGAGGCATCTGATCCACCGCATCCGTGCAGCGATGGCGCAGGTGCGGAATATTAACGCTCAATTTGATTCGCTCTTTTGATCGTAAAAAGCATCTTTCGTGTTCAGGAAAATCCCGGGCGAAATTTCCCGAGTTCAAGACATTTTGCACACTGTAGTTCATTACCAGTAACTGGTCGCAAACAGCGGCTATCTGCGACAGATATTCGCAGGTATACCCTTCCCTACGATCATAGCGTGCAATCTCACAGGAACTGGAGCAGTCTTTAACGATGATTGTAGACAGTTGCATCGCTTTGGCTTTCGACACTTTAGCGGCGATCGGGGCCCCTGTTTCGAAGTCCAAGTCCGCGGCGCGTCCGTTAAGAAGCACCAGTGTTCGCGTGTGTGGGGTGACAATTTGGTCCATCAATATGATTAGCTTGTAGGTGTAATTTAGGCATGCGTGTGACCTTTGATCATGTGGTTCGTCGGTCAGGTGAGAGCAAATATCCACGATTATATCCACATAAGCGGCAGTTTCCGTCAACAACACATGCCACAACGCGCAAACCCTATTGTAAAACCACAATTGGGATGTTTTCACGACTTTTAACAACAACAACAATATTGCAATAAATTTTGGTGTATAACGTGTAGGTACTATTCAAATGATTATTTTCATTCTGTGTTCTATTCAAATAATTCAAGTCCTGTGCCTGAAACCAAAATGTTAGAAACACAAATTTTTGCAGAAAGTTTTTTTGCTTAACAGATTGCCATTAACAGATAAGCATCTTTTCCGACAATATATTTTTCCCTATTTTTAAAGGATATTGCAGCAGTGTTTTTGCTAAGAAAAACTTCAAAGAGTGCGAACAGTTTAACAATTTAACATTGGATAAGTATGTTTTTTGTGATAATCCTCACCTTCTCGTTCTTGCTTGATTATGTACATCCAGGTTCAAAAGAACGTTAGTCATAATGGAATGTGGAAGGTCACTCATTCTCGTGTCCCCAGTTTCTGGAAAATAACCGGTGATATCGATGGTCAAGTACAGAGTACACCACAGCAAGCGTTTTAGCTCATCTTAATTTCGACTACAGAGTGCACAGGTACTTTGCTTAAATAATTTTTAAACATTTTAGAACATATATAATTAGAGACCGTGCGCAAGATGACCGGTACGAACCAATTTCGTCGAGATCATGTACTGACAAGTGACATGTACATGTACAGGTACATGTCGAGGTCTGTAGTCTGTATCGGTGCGTTTACAGTCAGTTTTCTCCTTGGCCAAAAGTTTGTTTTCTTTACCCTTTCCTTTTACGGTAGCAAGGCCAAAAACAGCCATTCAATACGTTATTAACAGCATAACAATTTCCTAATTGCTAGTATTTTCAACGATACCTCCATTACATTCGGAGGTATTTCTCCAAGGAAGGATCGACATTGGACCGTCGCGGTTCGCCGCTTGCTGCTCCTTCCACATTAGTTCGCATGCTCGCTTCAAAGAATTGTCACTCCAGCATAAGGCCCGAAGCGCGTCTCCGTGTATTTCCGCACAAATAAACGCAACAGTGCGCTTATCATCATCCACTCGCACAAAGAATCGACAACCGAGATTGAGCACCACCCGGCTTCGATTACCAACAGCTTCTATGCAACTCGCCGAGTCCAGGTAAAGTTTCATGGCTACCAGATTTGCTATTTCAGGAGCGCGTTCAAAACGAATGACATATTTCCGGTACAGTAATCCTTCGTTCCTCCCGAAAAAACATTGCTTGTCGTGCGATGGCAGTTCGGTGACCAACTGCGAACGGTGGACAACACGACGATTTTCAAAATCTTCATTATTCTCGTTAACACCGTTGTCACCCTGGCGGTTATTCAGCTTGACGACGCAGCACACGGTGAAAAGATCCGGTGGAGTTATTGTGCCGGGCTGAAATACAAACGGTCCATCGGGTGTATTTCGCAGCGCTACGTAGACCGAAGCACCATGCTTGAACCACGGCTCGCGAACATAAAGATGCGGCCAAATATGGCGGAATGGATCCAGCCGGCGGCAACGGATAGGCAGTCGAAATCAATAAAAAATAGATCGCCATAAACGTTCTGAACATATCCAAGCCACCACTCATGGTCCCTCTTGACCAATACGGTGTTCCCGTAGTTCATTTCACGAGCACCGGAATGAAAGTGTCGAAAATATAGCGGCGTCGCGTCGGCCATTCTGTTTTACTGCCAGTCTAAAGAACCTAAAAGTAAAGAAGTTTAACCCGACGAAAACTCATACCTAATTATTGCCGAATAAATTTATTGGCAGTAGCCAATCAATTAAACAGAATGCAAGCGCTGGTACACTACTTGACAGTTACAATTTAAACAGAGTATTACAGAGTACTTGCATTTAGCAACAAGTTATCAACTAACACGTATTCATAAATGGATTTTGTGGTGTATGATGTTATGATTTACTACGTAGACTATGTATGTGCATCAAAAGACAAAAGAAATTTTAATGAAATGACTAGAACTGGAAGTGAAATGCGGGCCGAAATATTACAGATCTATCCATATAAAAAATGTCTAAAATAATTCGCCCTAGAAACATCGCCTGCCTGGATGCACATACAGCAGCTAAATAAACATCATTATTTGCAGTGACCTTACCTGATACAGTTTGTGACCTTAGGTTTTCGCCGTAAGCATTACTCATCGTCGGTCGATCAGAACAGTGTGCAAAATTAAGCGGAAAACTGAAGTAATTGTAGGCACATAGGCTGTTCCGGGTTCCAACTGAAATAATTATGTGCACTGAGCATTGAGCACAGCGCATCAAAATTCCTTTAGGTAATTCGAAAAGTGATCAACTTCGGCAGAAAGCAATTACTGTACCTGTTGAAAGAGAACGAGGCCGCAGTCGTTGTATTGTGCTCATAGGTTTGTCTATTCAGTGAACCTGACCAGCTGCATGGGACAGTTGACTGAGGTATGACAAGATGGATTGAATGGGCCTAGGCCGAATCGCAGTCCTGGATAGCATTTTCGCACTTACTGGCTAGTAGACTACTGTAACGTTTCAGGGCTACCTTATGTACGGAGCATAACTTCCGCTATTTCTTATTATAATATGAAGTTTTAACAAGTTTTTAGCTCTGGAAGCTCTTTTTCCCGTGTTTATTCATTCTTTAGTACGGTATCTGCACATACAACTATCGCGTGCTTGTTAGAATATTATATAGCCGTAAGAGAAGTGTGTGTACCGATGACCTTGGACGTTATATTGTATGGTATTATAATAAATCGCAAATTATGAAGTTGGTCTCAAAACATATTATAATAAATACGAGCTACCACAGTAACCAAACCAAAAAACTGGTACTTTGTTTTCGTAGTTTTAATCCGCGAACTTCTTTTATTTGTTTCTCACCGTGTCCTTTTTCTGATTTTACACTTTCATTATGAAAAACCAAAGACACCCAGCTTGTCACATTTTGCAGTTTCATCGTTTTTATGCTGCTACAACAGGTTCCGCCGCTAAACGGTGCAGCAACCGGATCCGCCAACGGTACCCCGGGCGCTTGGAGGTCATCCATGCCGACCGCCATGGCCGGCACATCCATCGGTTTGGCCGCATCACCGGCCGCCTCGTCAGCCTCGCCGGCCCTCTGCCAGCTCATACTAGACATGGAACACCCGAAGGGGTCACCGCGTTGGCATGCTTGTTTGGCGTACTGCGAGAACTGCGGCTCCGGGCAGCACTGCCAATCCAGCGCCTCACAGCGTATAAAAGGATGGCGCGGATACGGGCAACCGTCCCCGCTCGGTGGGGCGGGCGCGGGCCTCGATGGACAGGCGGCAATGTGGGCGGGGATGGTGGTGGCGAGGAGCAGTGGAAGGCGGGAGGCGGGCGGGGCGGGGCTTGAGGAGTAGGCGGTAATCTGTTGGGGAATTACGGCCGCTAGGAGGAGGGACAATGCGGACAGGTGTTGGGGCATGGTTGCGATAGGCGTAGTACAGAGTGGAGGATTATTACAGAATACCACTGTATCCGGTCTAATGTCTGAGCTATTACAGGAAAAAACCTACTTAGCCTACAGGCTAAAATTCACTGATGTTCTCTGCGATCGAATGACAGAAAATGTGCTTACTAAAACTCTTTTGCACTATTTCCTTGGTTAAAAATATTGTGACTTTCTCAACTTTTTATTTCGTTGCCAGGTATAGAACATTATTGATAAGTACTAGTAATATCCAGTAATAGTAGTACGCTGTACGAATATACGAATTTACAGTAATAAAAAAATGTCAATACGTACTTCAGTTATATGTATGTTTAGCAAGGCATAAAGTAAGTACTGTGCCTTTACAATTTTTTTATAATAATTATCCATATTCCAGTATAAAGCTATTTTTAATTTTTTATTACAGTAATATTAACAATTACCATAAGTTAACCAATAATAATCAGCTAGAAGTAATCATAGAACTCATTTACAGGTACTTCTGTATGTACAATAAACGTTCTTGATTATATTAACTGCGTTTTTCCTTCTTTGTTTCGGGACATTCTAAAGCGTAGTCATTGTCGGCATCGAGATTCTGCCATGTGATCCGCCAGTCACGGGCCGCCAAATAGTTTCGAGTGAAATCAAAGCCTTCCTGATTCGCCAACATTTCAAAGCGGTCATATAAATCGTCGGCTTCCGCTCGAACTTGGTGCAGTGTCAGATAGACAAACTCATTTACTGCTTTCGCTGTAATGTAAAACATATTCAGCATCTAAAAAAATTTAAATCTTTAAGGAATAAAAATATTGTACCAGAAGATTGCGTAGATAATCTGTATGCAAACAGCTCTACTTCGAATGCAGCACGAATGACATCAATATCCGCGGATTCGGGTGTTAACAGCACCGTAACATGACCTGAAAAAATAAGTGGAATTTTTATGTGCTAATTTTGTATGCTTCCAATGGGGATAGAATTAACCGCATGGATACTGACCATATTTTTGCAAACTGAAGAAAAATGCGATAATGATACCATATGTTTATAACACAGCTGCATTACTGAAGGCGTTCACAGACGTACGGTTACAATCTACGTAATATAATTAAGGCGAAATTGGCATACTACCCGTAGTACTTTTGGCTGGATCGACCAACAGACAGAACGCTTGAGCCGCATAAATATCCCTCATTTTGAGGAAATCGTCGCTGTCGAAGCTCTGATGAGGCAGGCGATGACCGATGGAATATTTCCACTTCCGTTGTAAAGGAATAACTACCGGCTCCTGGCGGTTGACTTCGCGAACCGATGGCACGAAGAGCCCAGCAGAATTCAAGAATCCCAAAACGGCTAGATGCAATCGGGACTGATTAAACTGCTCCAAATTCAGCGCTTTCATCCCGCAATAATTGGCGATTACGTGAATAATAACCACCAAGGAAAATACCATCCAGCTTAAACTAAAATATTGAAGAGATAAAGTGGTTTTCTGCGGTTTTGCAAAACTTTTCAAAAATCTGGTGCGTATATGTATGCAGATTTTGATTTTACGGACGATGCCAATTAGCTAATTAAAGCGAATATAGCAACTTACAAATGGGAATGTGAAATCAAAGGCATGATCATTAACGCCACAATCATGCCGGTAAGATTCACCAGCGTCTCCTGGCTGGCTTCCTTCGCTGCAACATCCCCGAGATTATTTCGTCGAGCCTGATGCAAGGTGATCGCTGGCCGTGTTCCATACCGGCAATACCCACTACTGACTGCAAAACACTGACCGCAAATCAACGAATGCTGACATTTTGATTTCGCATTTTTCAGCGGGTTTAAACCCGCTGAAACATTTGAAAAAAGCCAAATTCTCACGCACTCGTAAAAGAGCGGAAAGGCACAAAGCAAACGGAAAATATATCGTCTGCGCTGAGATCACATCCAGGAACATTGCTAAATCGTTGAGAACATCCGCTCGTAGCCTGTTTTGAACAGTTTACTGTAGAGACTGACCATAAGTCACACTATGCTTTCTATAACGCTATCGACTCATAGACACCGGGTTTTATTGCTTACCGCCATAGCTTCATATCACAGTCTAGATCCGGGCTGTAATTCGTAAACAAATAGCAGTGACCTTTAATTCAGCACAAAACTTTCCGTTTTTGTACCCTTGAAACCACGCAAAAGCGATCTTTCCAGTCATGCTCACTCCATCTAAATTAGGAGAAACACAATACTATTTAGTTAATAGTTTCTGTAATTACCGCAAACATAGTCATAAGGTGTAAGCGTTTAACGCACGTGTAAACGCTTCACAACACTTCTCTGGATCATGTGTACGTCTCATTAGAAGAAAGTCCAAAGCATAATACTTATTTTTATGCGACATTAATTTTTAATACCTTTCAGAATGCATGTCATTGTAGCCGCTAGGACACTTGACGTTTCTTCTCCGACACCAAGTCCGGCAAGAATAGACTGTGTAGCAATCGTCCCATTGACGTAGCTACAAAATCCCTGCATCATGCATGGCTGTTAGATTTACCGTAAAGGTATGCTTTGGTAGAAGTTTTATTCTTAACGTTACTACACGAACTTAACTTGTACTGTGTCGCAGATCTGATACGCTAGATAGTCCTTGCTGACACTATCCGGATATCCTTCCGGAAAGAACACTTCCTGCAACAACAATTTGTATGTATTATGATTTTTTAATAGCATTAGGGTGAGGAGAATTTGATATGATATTCGTGTGACTGACATAGAAAAAATTCCCGAATCCAAATGCTGCACGGTTCCGGTTAGGTTCCACTTTAACCACGGTGCGCTTGTCCAGTGAATAAAATGTCTTATTCGCTAGCGGCGAACCACAGGTCTCGACTGCCACAATTTTAGCCATTTTTTAGTAAAAAAACCTTTTAAATCAGCGTAAAAGATTTGGGAAAAGATTACATGGAGATATTTGAGTAAACCAGTAGTAATAACATTGGCTAGAATGGTTTTCGCTAATAATGACGTACAATTGTGTGTTTTGCATTCAGCAAACATTATTGTTTACGCGTCCTGCTGCATGCGACGTAAGTGTTCCGTGTAGAAGTTCATAGTGCAGTTTCTCCGCATTCATTCAGCAAAAAAATAATCGACTTTGTGTTGCGGTGCCACGAGAACAGCCTCGCACAGCAAAGACGCCGATGGAACGAGTCATGGCAGTGGAAAACAGTTTAAATTAGCCAGAAATTCTAATACGACTTTTAGCGCTTGAAATTAACGTTAGTTTGAGGACAACCAAGAGAGTGCTTCGTGGAAAAAAAACTAAATGTCAACGGCTGGACCACACCTGCTAAACGCCTAGGGTAGGTAGGGAAGGAGAATCGTTTTTTTCGCCAAAACAAAGCGCTCATTGGGAAAAGTGATAATGACCACTGGAAACTGTTGCTACCGAGTGTCGCGCGCTTATATTAAGGACGATAGTGAAAACCTAAACGCCCAACACGTTGTAAATCGTATTTTGTGGTGCATGTTCAGGGAGTGTTTCCCAGTGCAGCACGGTGACCTCGCGAAGGAGGTCGTCCTACACTTCGGCCCACCTTTACAGCGGTGCCCTGGGTCAGGAGGGGCTTCAACTTAATGGCGTGAAGTGCACCCAGAAGGGCCATTGGATGGCCAAGTTCACACATTATGCCGCCATCCAAAGACATTATTTTGGTGTCCTTGGATGGCGGCATAAACGTGAATTTAAAACGAATTTTGTGTGGGAAAGACGAAACCACGATAGCTGGACTGCAGCGCATTTTCAAAGTGGCCTACTCTAGTTTTAAAATTCCTGTAATTTGATACAAGCTTGAATTTTGGAAACTTTAATTGTAAATGGTGTTGAATAGATTCAGATCACATAAAAGTTAAATAAAGATAAATTTATTGATAAATTTAGTTCATGGGAATTTTTTAAATGAACACCGCCAACTTGGCGTGAACGGGGTGTACTTACGGGTGTTTGAAAAATTTGGCTGGATATGTACTGCTTCTATAGTAAAGATCTGCAGTGAATTAGTGAACACCTAAGCAAGCATCAGATGCAAGCGGTTTATGACATAATGCTGTAGCGGGAGTTTATTAATTTGTCGCATTTTACAACATATCTGAGAACAATTCGTAAGCGTAACATGATTTCATGTCTACTAGTAGAGGATGTTCGCCGGGGTTCAAAGGGTCGAGGCAGCCTCGGTACTCGAGGTAAAGTCCCGGTGTACCCTCCGCTGTGCTGGCAGATCGTGGTTACGCGATGTGCTGGGTGTTCTGTCCGGTCAGAAATCCCAAATCCCCCTCTGGGTACCTATTGGGTAACACCTGAAGGGTGGGTTCCGGACTTTGAAGGTTGAAGTCCGAGGGTCCGAGGGTCGATTAGCCTCGGCTGATTGGTAGTTGACGATCTGATGGTCGCTTCCTCCCGGCAAAACCCTTATTAACGGTGTGGGTCGCCTATTGGGCAACTCTACCGAGGGTCTCACCGGTAAGATGAAGTTGCTACCCGGGGCGACCTCCGTGTCCGGGGTAGCCTCGGTGGTGAGGTAGTCAGCATCTGGTAAGGCTGGTCCTAAGGCATCCTGCCCGGGCAAAACCCTTTTTTTAAAGTCTCCCGTCACCTGTTGGGTAATATGGAGAGGGTTAATGCCTCTGGACAGGGTCCGAGCAGGTATCCGAGGGTCAGTTAGCCTCGGTGTCTGGGGTCAATCGGCCTCTGGACAGGGTCCGAACCTCGGTAACGAGACTGGCCCAACATGCTCTGGTGGGAGTCCGCTTGATGCTGGAGATGTCCACCGGGTAACTAGCAAGAATCATGCAAAAGAGGCTCCTCAGCGGCTGTATAAGACCTAATTGGGTCTAAGCCGCGAGACAGACACTCTAAGTGTTAAAGACGGAGTCCATGCTGGTCCGTTCCTCGGCTGATCCCGTGCTTCCACTTAGGCGGAAACACCCGGGATGCCGGAATGATGCTGGGACTAAGGGCCTATTGGGCCTCAAAGGGCATCTTTGCCGAGTTAGAGTCCGTGATTAGCCATGGTCTTCGGTGGGTGAGGTAGAGATCGTGGTTCTACGCGATCTGCGAAGGCTTGCATCCTCCGAGGGTCCTTCTGCCGGAGGAACAGGCCGGTGGAGCGAAGCGGATCGCGCCGCGCAGCACCGTCCCGTAACTTTTTGGCGGCCTATTGGGTACCTTACCTGGAACCTATTGGGTTCAAGGGGAAGTTATCGAGGGTTCATGTGCCATATTCGACTTCGCTTCAAACCGTCCATTTCCGGAGGGTGAAGTCCATATTTTGGTGGTCCTGGCCAGAGCGGTCAGGTTCCAAGTCGGCCAAACCTCCTCTGGCCAGGGCCTGAAGGTTGATCAGGCCTAGCTGAGCACTTGCCCCGGAACCTATTGGGTTCGCAAGGTAGTTGTTAAGCCTTTCATGGGGTGGGGTCCGGTCAGGTCCGCTTCTTTGGACTCTGTCTTTCGATCCGAGGTATTTCCGTTCCCGCGATGTAGGTACCGTTGCTTCCCGCATCGGAGGAACGGAACTTAGAATTTGATCCACGGGTGGAGGCCTATTGGGCCTCGTACCCCGGAGCCTTTAGGGTCCGGTGAGGTATCGAGCAATCTCCGTATCCCTTATTGAGGGTCCGGTGAGGTAGCTGATCCTGGTTAATAGGCGCGGTCTGCGTTGGTAGCTTGTCGTGGTTCGAACTGCGGGATGGTCGGCCGACGATCTGCGGCTCCTCCGATTGGGTTCCATCTGGGGTATACGTCTCTATTGGAGACGTCGCCATGTCCGTGTGACCGGTTTTGCGGTTAGCCTAACCCTATTGGGGTCCAGCTACCGGTCTCTCTTATTCCAAGTCCACGTTGACCGGGGCTCTACCACCCAAGTGGGAGCCTTCCGAGTCATCATCCTTATCCCGTCGTCCTGGGTGGTTTGAGGATGTAGCCTCCTGGGTACAGGCTGACTGCAATTCCGAGGCTTCCTGTCCGGGCTTTTCGGCTTTAGTTCGGCGGGCTTTGCGTCGTCGGCGGTTCCTGCCCGAGGATGACGAACCAGGCCACATATTATACCTGTAGGATGACTTACCCTCGGGCATCGGTGGAGATGTGAACCCGGGTGGCAAGTGGCGATGGGTCCGGCACCATTCCGAGAGGGTCGACGCCTCGTCGACATCCTTTTCGTCGTCTGGGTGGTACTGGTACTCCTTGTGCCATCGCTCTGCTGTCAGCAGGAAGTCACGCAGCCATAATCCCACCACTGTGTCTCTCACTGGCGTACTCAGCTGGGCCACCGCCGTCCGTAGTCGGGGCGGGATGTTGTTGTTCCGGTACGCACAGTACAGAGTGTAATGGCTGTGATGGTGGCCAAGTCGGGCCGCGAAAATCAGTCGCAAAGCCGTCTGGAAAGCCATCGGAGCATCTCCCCGGGCTTCGGTTTCAATGTTGCCAAGGTATTCAGGCAAACCCTGGGCCGCTCTGGCTGCAGTGATCACCATGGCTGTTTGTGCCTCGGTGAGTACGAACTGCGCCACCCATTCCGTATGGTCCGTGACCTCTCGTTCCGAGGCATACAACGGGAGCTGACTCAGCTGAGACCAGTCAAGATGGTCGAATGGCAGTCCCAAGGTTGCTGGGTCGGTCGCGCTAGGCAAACCGTTCGTCCGGTAGTACGGGAATCCGATGCCATAGGCCAACCGATCATTCATCTCAAAGTCCTCCGACAATTGCCGATGTTCAAACATCTGTTGGTATCCGGAGCGGTCGAGGAAGGTTCGAAGGTCGTTGACCAGGTGCCAGACTTGGTTGCGTCGGTCTTCCCGGTACTGCATGGTTCCCATGATATAATTCGTCCGTTCCGTCAGGTGTGGGATTTCCACCGCAATGCCCTGTCGGCGTGCATGGTCGTACCGAGGGTCATGCTGGCCTGGTACTACCGGGTCCGGGTCGGGTAATGGACGTTATCCGGGGCTGGTAGGTCGGACTCGTCAGTGTCGACGTGATAGTCCCACATTTCTTCCTGGGGACCCACGGCTAGGTGTTTAGCCGAGCCAGGTTCCAGCTGGTCCGACTCATTGAGCCTCCGCTTGACTGGGGTATCTTCCATTTCGATCTCCGGGGATGCCGAGCGTTCTAAGTCTCGGTCCCACTGTTGGATGTTGTCAACCATCCGCTGGAGAAATGGAGGAAGCGAAGAGACTGTCGCTGGCTGCCATACTCGTAGGCTGCCATAGCGACTGGCCCAACACAGCTGCCATAGCGACAGCCCGCTTCTTCTGATAGTCATCGCCCATCTGCTGCACAATCTCCTTCATCCGTTCGGTGAGGTTATGGTACTCACGGATGGTCTCGTTGGAGTCGTTGTCAGGCAAATTGTCGCGGCGACTCTTGAGGGCGTTATAGTAGTTACGCTCCGCGCTCGCAGCCCGATTGATACAATCATCCCTTTCGGTCATGGTCAGGTCCTTTATGGAGTCCATGGCCGGGTCATTATGGTACTGACGATGAGTCTGGTTACTATCCGCGGGCCCTAATTGGGGCTGCACAGACGGTTGTACCTGACGCTCAACCGTTACTTCGGCTGCTATGTCCGGCACCGAGGTTGACATCGATGCTGTGCTGCCCGGCTCTTTTGCCGCTATCTCCAGTTTTGCCGGAGACGAAGTGTCCCTTCGTTCTTGGGAGGGTTGCCGAGGGGTCCGTTTCGGGGAAAACCTCGGTGTTGGAGGCTGGATAGGGGTCATACTGGGTAACCGGTTCGGTTGAGACAGAGCCCTAGTTGGGGACACCTGTTTCACCGGGGACCTACTGCGTCCATCAGTTGACCGAGGCTCAGTCGAGAGCCTTGATGTTGACCGAAGGTCGTTTAACAGGGCTTG